AGAGAGAGAGAGAGAGAGGAGGAGGGGGGGGGGAGAAATGTATAGACCTTGAGCATAGCAATGTGATCACCAACATTTCCAACGTGAAAATTCATCATTGCATTGTCAGCATGAACTTGCTTGTCCTTGGGACGGTAAAAGATAGAAGGCCCGATGGACAACATAGCAGCAATGGATATGATCTCATCGGAGCATTTGTATTTGTCAGAAACAACAATCATCTTCGACAACATTGGATCAAGGGGAAACTCTGCCATCCGCCTACCAGCTTTAGTCAATTCGCCCAGCTGATTGAGAGCCCCCAGAGCAAAGAGAAGCTCTAAGGACTTGATAAGAGCTTCAGCAGGTGCAGGGTCCATGAAGTCAAAGTTCAGCAGATTATGAATACCAAGACTCTTCAAAGCAAGCACCACACTAGCAAGATTAGTCCTTTGAATTTCAGGTACGGTATTGTCCTCCAAGTCATTGTAATAATTATACGCCGTGTATAAGCGGTAACACTTCCCCGCACTTGTTCTTCCAGCTCGACCAGCTCGCTGCGTCGCTGAAGCCTTAGAGATAGGTGTTACAAGCAACGATTCCATCCCTGTTCTAGGGTTATAGGATTTCATCTTGCTAAAGCCCGGATCAATGACATACTTAATACCATCGATGGTCAATGATGTTTCAGCAATATTTGTCGCTAGCACCACTTTCCGTGCCCCTTCAGGAGTTGGTTCAAATATTTTTGCTTGGAGTTCGCTTGGAAGGTTAGCGTAAATTGGGCATATAATGAGTTCACGGATCTTTGTACCCAAACCTCTAATCTTGTTCTTCAAGTTCTCTTCTACGGCCTCAATTTCCTCTTGACCTGGGAGGAAGACCAATACATCTCCAAGTGGTTCCTTCACATGTATCGTAAGCACAGTAGCTATTGCTGCGTCCATGTAATCAGCTTCAGGTGCAGTAGTAAAGCAAATGTCAACTGGATACCTTCTTCCTGGGAAATTAAAGATAGGGGCTTGGTCAAAGAAATCAGAAAACTTCTCTGCATCCATGGTTGCACTGGATATCAATAACTTCAGATCAGGCCGAGCCCGTGCTATATCCTGCCATAAGAAGAAGAATCAGAAACATATCCAAAGATCTAACTCTAACTGAGTGAAGTAAAAAGATTGGTATATCGTTTATACTTGCCTTAACTAATCCAAATAGTATGTCGGTGTGCAAAGTTCTTTCATGCGCTTCATCCACGATGATAACACTGAAGGATGAGAAAATAGTAAGTAGATAATGTTTCACATGCCCCATGCTAAAACAAATTGGGTAAGAAAGTTGATTACCTGTAACTGCCCAGATCTGGTTCACCGAGCAACTCACGCAAAAGCATTCCATCAGTCATATACTTCAGAATTGTTTTCTCAGACGTACAATCCTCAAATCGAATGGAATAGCCAACCTGTGACAAGCACCACCAGCTTTAGTTTCTTGCAGTGTATAGTCAAACAATTGCCACAGGGAAAAATGTTCATATAAACAAAAAGAAAACATACCTCATGCCCAAGTTTACCACCCATCTCTTGAGCAACACGAGCAGCCACACTCATAGCCGCAACTCTTCGAGGCTGCGTACAACCAACCTGCCATACGACAAAAAAATAATTAGGGTGCTTAAAAGTAACTATTAATGGTTAACCTAACGTCTGCCTTTCATGTTTTTATACTTTCAAAAATCTGGCCTCAAATATTATGCTTTATGCACAAAGGCATTCCCTTAAATCTCTAATAAGCTAGCTTCTCAAAAACAGAAAACTTCAATAAATGGGATAGACTTGCTTGTGGAAACTTGGACATGCTAAAGCTCTCATCTAAAGAATAAATAACACAAAAATTACTGATGACACTTAAATTCCTCTTTTATGCTTTAAAGGCTAATAATTCATTTGATTATGTGCTTCAATTAAGGTCTAGTGTACCTTTCCATGCTTTGTGTAACCAGCTTCGTGAAGATATTGGGGTATCTGTGTAGTCTTGCCAGAACCCGTTTCTCCCACAATTATAAGAACCTGGTCAGTTACAAATGAAGGAAAAGGGTCTGTATCATACATGTAACAGAAGAAATCAATATCCAAATAAAATAATAGATATATACACATTTTCATAATAAAAAACTTTAAAACCCAACATCAATAAGATATGCGAGCTTTTCTCATAAATGTACTCTTTTCAAAATACTTTATCCGTGGTTAATTCTAGTCATACTCAAATGCTAAGTCAGGATGATATTAGCTATAGAAAGCTTCTCTCTTATCTGATGATCTGATTATGTCATTACTGATACAATTTGAGAGTACGGATCAATTACTTCAAAAAAAAAAAACAGATGACATGAAAGGAAGAATTACCTGATGATCTTTAACAGCATTAAGAAGTTGATCACGATATGAATAAATTGGCAGTGTTTTTCTCTCCTCCTGATTCATTAGGAAATAACATTTAAACATGTCAGAAAATCTTTCAACTTCAGAAAAGGAATACTTCAAACACGGAAATATACAATTACTGAGATGTTTTTATGGCCAGTGAAACATCTAAAAAGAGCTCCAATCGTTGAATTTGATCAAACAAGGTAAGTGGAGAAAAGAGAAGCACCTGAAGTATATCAAAAGCCGATTTCCCAGTAGAATCTTGAGATGGTTTAGCATGCATTAGATCTTCATACTGTAATGAAAACAGATGAGTAGTCAGCTAAAACTCAGTGCATAAAAAGATATACTACAGACCTAATAGGTATCATAGTCAATACATTATCACCAGCCAACACAGATGCTTTTATGAAGTCGATTTGGTCTTCAAATACAAACCTGCAGAAACAATTATATATTTATGGTAAAAAGATAGCAAGGATAATCAGCCGAAAGTAAAATTTGAAATAGGACAAATAAGTAACATCTTACTCGTAATTGTCTGAGACCTGCTTATTCTTTGCGCCAAATTTTAATGTTGCATTTCCTGCATGAAAAAGTCATTTAGTAAATATCATAAACGATGCCATTTAACAAACAAGACTGTTCAATGATAAAAGCACCGTAACAGAAAATTACCAATCTGATGGTCTTCCCAAGCTTCTTGCTCTGCAAAGGGGTTCATTTTCTCCGTGGAACCCATGTCCCTAATCAAAAAAAGATAATTTAGGACATCTATAACACTTATACAACACGAATCAGTGATGTTTGAAGTGTAGCAAAGTAGAATGTTATGGATTCCAAGTCCTGCATTCTCTCTCAACCCACCTGTAACGTTGTACAGAAACAGCAAATCTCTTCTCCTGATCAACACTTCCATCTTGATCATATGCATCTGGCATTCTATACTGAACTCCAAAGAGGTTGAAAAAAGAGAGAAGTACAAATAATTCAGAAGAAGAAAAAAAACTAAAACCATAACGGACTTTTTTTGTAGGCAAAAACGTAAAAAAGGTCCAGTACGATGCAATGACCTCTCCTACATTATCTTCTTCTTGTGTACTTTCATTTATGAGCTCGAAGATTGCTTTCTTGTATCTGTCAAGGTATCAGATCAACCAATGCTAAATTCTATTAGCCAATAATTAACAAATCCTAGCAAATCTTAATACTGCCATATAGTTTTCAGATAATTACAAATAAATTCCCAAAAGTAAGCCACCACTGTGATTTTTGATAATCACCAAAGCAATCAAGCTGCAACTTGGTGAAAAAGATGTCTGAATCACCTATTATCATGAATTTCTGCTTCAGTGAGCTTTTCATCTCTAAAAAGGTATGATTCATCTTCTAGATAATCCCTGTGAAGAAAAGAGGAGAAATAAGAAGTCAATTCAGGTTCAACAGTAAAATAGGTACCAGAATTAAGGTGAAAAAGAACTCTTAAAGTCAAGTACTTTAGCTCTTTTAGTTTCTTCGAAACCCTCTCTTTAACATAATTTTGCCGTGAGAACTTCCTGAATCAAAACCAGCAAAGCATAATCAATAACAATGAATGAAGAAAATCATTAAAAATATAATTTTCAAAATATTAGGACGATAGGACACAATTGATGGCGTCAATAGTTCTTAACTGGAAATTAATTTGGCAACTTTACATGGTATGTCAAATACGGGAATAATATTTAACCCATAAGTACCTTACATTGTATTTGAATATGGATGCATTTCTTTATTTCTCTCTCAAAAAGGAATAGATGCAGGGAAGAAAATATTAGCTAGAGAAACACCGGAAGTACCTTAAGGATTGTGTATCCTTGTCTACAGCACTATCTCTTCGAACAACCCCTTCTGTTTTGCAATATAAGAATTTCTAAATGAGTCCAGCAGAAACAAAAATTTGGTTTCACCCATAATTCAACACAAAGATGCTTATACATGTTCATGTATGAGCTCTGGTAGGCCGTACCTTTCTCTACCTTTGACATTTTTGGCTCTGTTAGCTGTTCATTAAAGAGAAGAAAGAGACAGGTTAGTAACAAAAATAAGATCAAATAATAACAATGGATCAATGAATCCTTACATAATTTTCTTTGACTAGCAAAAGCGCCTAAGCATACAGGATTGAATGGTATATTAAGTTTAAAGATTTGGCAGTTCTTTTTTTTTTAGCTTAAAGAATGATAAATGAGATAACGAGTTAATCTTGTCTATTGTTTCCGCAAAAAAAAAATGCAGCTGGTTAGCTAAAAAAGGATGTCAAGATGAGAAGGTTAGCTTGTTTCTTTCTCCGGTATGCAAAGAAAACACATTAAATTACTAAAAACAGGGATCTTTTCGGTGCACATAACAGATAAGACATACCTTCCGTGTCCGTGCAGCATCACGCTCTCTTAGGTGCTGCTCTAGTTCTTCTCTCTCCCTTTGGTCACGTAATCTTTCCTCTTCAGACTGTGCCAAATGAACATGATTGAAGCAGATTGTCCGCAAATCATTATGAAAGCAGGTATTGTCCACACATAACTACACAAAAACAAATAAGGAATATTTTGCTAGCTAAAATGCAAACACCTAGGAGTAGCCACAAGCCAAATATACCTCAATGCCATCATTGTCGTCTTCGGACACCTTTCGCTTAACATTCCTTTTGTCCTCTCTAGCAATCAGCACCTGCATTGTTGTTTAGTCAGAAGGGGTACCACATTATTAGAAGAGCTATGGTGCTATATCTTACCATAAAGGAAAAAAAGGAAGTCTGTCATTGAATAGAAAACAATTGCCTCATCATCGTCGTAGTCTTCCTGTTCCTCAATTTTCTTCCTGAACCTCTTTCGTGTTTTATCTGACTTTGCTGATTCCAAAGCATATTGTTTCTCTACATTGCCTTCATCTTCATCATGATCAGCCTCCAAAAGGGAAAAAGTTTTCTGCTTCTTCAACAGCATCGCTGCCTCTGCTTCTTGATGTTGGTAGAGCTGAAAGAAACCAAAAAAATCAACGAAATTAAAACTCTATTTATAACTATGTCATACTTTGAATTCCCAATCAGAAAAAAAAAGAGAGCATGAGAGGTATTGAGGAACTCACATTCACACCAGCGGTTTTCCGGGGAACTCTGGCATAAATTTCTTCTGCAAAGGCACGCGTATCACCAGACAAAGAAAACCCGCAAGCCACCAACTCACGCACGAGTTCATCTGGTGATTCTGATTTTTTAGCTGCACAAAAAAAAAAATCCAACTTGGTTAGCTACAATCAAAATAGCCAAAATCTTCACTTTTCTTTCATGATTCAGAACGAAAGACCAAGATTACCCATTGCAATTAGATATTTCACAACAGCAGTTTGTGAATAGCCTAGCAGAACCATCAACTTGTCTGAGACCCAGGTGCTCAAATCATTGCTCCCCATTCTCACTGCACTACAATAACAAACCAACACAACGAAATCAACACAGAGTTAGTGAGTAATACATAAACCTCACCGACTAAAACAGGGGAACCAGGAATCTAAACCCAAGTATAGGCGGTAATTAGCCGAGACAAATAATTTCAGAAGGATCGGAACAATGTACAAACCCTAAAAGATAAGGGCTAACACTTAAAGAGATCTAGGTTTGCTGAAACTCGCAGAGAGATGGAGAAGGAAGGTGATGAAAGGTTATGAGGCTTACCACAAGACGGCAAATAACAGGAATTGTACGGCGGAACGGGATGAATCGAAGAGTACTCACCGGCGGCGACTTAAGTCTCCTCCGAAGACGAACGGATTCTGCGTCGAATGTGTTTTTGCCCCGTTTTAATGTACCAACGTCTATTTATACGTAACACTGAAGCCTCTTTTTAATATCGTACGTTTGAATTTCCATAATTTTAATTGGTCTCTACCGGTCTAAACCGGTCTAGTTCATTGTTATTGACATATCAAGTGATTTCTTTCCAAATGAAACTTGATTGGTATATTTGTCATGAAATAATTGCTTGATCTTTGTAAGTGGACAAATATTAGAAATTGATAAGCTCAAGGGTTCCGCTTATCTTCGTCACAAGTTAGAGAATAGATATCTAGTCCAGTTTATTTATATGTATCAATTCAAAAGTTGATTTTTTTTTCCATAAGAAAAGATAGTGGCTAATGTGGAATGGCAAATGGTTCATTGAGTAAAGGACGACGTCTAAGGGTTGGGTTAGGGATGGTAGAATTTTATTTACTTACATTGTGAATCCTGGGAAGATCATAAACCAGGTAACATCTTCTTTCAACAACAACTCAAAACAAATATTTATGCAAAGAGCAAATGCAAAATAGTCCAGAATCCTCAGACTGAAGATAAGAGACAATTTGAAGAAGAGAGATGGAGCCATAAACAAAAATATATATTATACCTGACAAACGTAGTTGCGCTGTGAATCACAACAGCCTGTGATTAATCTCTGAAACCCAGATAACAATTTTTTACTAAGAACTCGCTCCAAAGACACGGATTCTCTGCTGAACCGGAGCTCTGCAACAAGGACATGTCGCTTTGCTACCGCCCATGAAGCTATCGCTGCAGCTCGCACAAACAACTTGGTGTGCACAAGGGAGAAACACAACCGAAACCTCATCTTTCATGCAGATCAAACATTCCCGGTCACAGTTTGCTTCCTTCTCATATGACCCATCAAGCCTATCCAGCTCTTCAAGCAGCTTAGACATTGCTTCTCCCTTTGACTTGTCTGATTTCCCTTTTGTTTGAGAGGTGTTATTGGATTGGAGGCTTGAGTCAGTCGAAGAGGCTCTGTTGAGCCGAGACAGCTCTTGTTCCAGTCTTTGGAGATCGTCTTTGTGTCTCTGGAAATCTATTTCGATCTTTAAACGCAGGCTTTCCACCTTTCTCTTGTTGCTAGCCTCGGTTGCTTCCTTGGAGCGCTGTTCTTCTTCCACTTGAGCCAAAGCTTGCTCCTTAGCTTTCTGCTCTTGCCTCCATTTCGCCTGCAGATACATATTGAACAAGATGAAAAGAACATGAAAACTGCCCAAAAATAGACGACGGTCTATGCGAATATGATCCATCTAGCAGTATAGAGAGTAGGACCTGGCCCCTGAAAAGTATAAATAGGTGTAATAATTCTTAAGGAACAGATCTCAAAACTGATTTCTGTCAGGTAAGTAGACTGCGATTCAAAGAGATGGGTACATTCTCTTGAATCCTAAGTAAAATTGTGAAGCTCCAGAGGATATCTTGGTGTGTAAACGAAGATAATGCATTTCTTGGTACCTCATATTCTTTTTCTTCCTGTGTGATCTGAGTTAAAGCCCTATTGAGTGCCTTAATCTTCTCTTTCTCAGCTGTAATCTCGTCCTGCAACTTCACTTTCTGCTTCTCCCAGGCTGCACGTTTCTTCAAACATTTTTTCTCTTTCTTCGATGCCTCCATGCAAGCTGTGAGAGATTCGGATGCACTTAATTTGGAGGCTTCCATTTCCGCCCGTATTTCTGCATTTTCGTTCTCAAGTGCCCTGGCTATCGCACTTGCCTTGTCAACTTGACCGCTAGCTTTTCTAAGAGCATTTTCCATCTCTGATAATTTTTTCAAGGTTGAGTCCTCACGAGTTTGTTTCCCTTTTTTCAACCGTTGGGTTTCTTCTCTCTCACTCCTCAACAATTTAAGCTCGCCAAGTTCATCGCTGACCTTTTGGGCAGCTTGCATTGCCTTCTTCTGAGCCCAGTCTTTCCTGTCCTTTAACTGCTTTTTGAGATCCTGAACCTGCTGAAGTAGTCCTATTAAAGCATCATCCTTTAGCTCCTCAGGTGCTGAATCAACATTGTCATCAAGGTTCAGATCACGGAATTTCTCCAGTACTGAACTGACACTTTCTTCACTCCCTGGTTTACGTGGCTGCTCACACGTCCCTGAAAATTTAGCAGCAGCCGGGCAAGACAAGCTATTACCACTAGTATCAGACTGCATTTGCATCTGCTTCTTTTGCTCCATACTAGCACGATACCCAGCAGCAAAGGCTGCAACATTCTCTCTCAACAAAGACTTCATCGACGGTGAAAGATTAAATCTCCTTGGACAGTCGATCTCTCTCTTCAATGTTAACTCTTCACCACAGGAAGAAACCCCATTACCAGAAAACTTAGGTCCTCTCCCATTCCCAAAACCCCAACCTCCATGGAATCTACACAATGCCGGCGCAATAGCACCACCACCACCATTTACCATACTAGTACCATCAACTCCTTGTACATTACTACCATCCCCATTTCCAGAACTCGGTATATCCATGGTACTCGCCCTTCCGACATGAAGCTCACTCATTAACAAACACCACATTGCATCACCTTTACTCAGATGAGGTTTAACTTGTTGCAGCAAATAAACCATACCCGCAAGAGAATACTCCTCCAACTGTATCAAATCCGTAAAAACCGTCTCTGACTGGTCCTCATCATTCCCATTACTACCTTCACCGGTACTACTCTTAAGATAAGCCAAGGAATTATGCAGAATATTCGTCATAACATCCATTCCACCATAACAATACCCATTACTAAGAACGGCTCTCAACGCCACATCCTCATTATAACCCAATGCCACAAGCTTCGATATCGCTTCATTGTATATATACTCCAAATGTTTAAGCAGTATATCCTCTAATTGCTCCTCTGTACAGTAACCCCAACCATTATCCTCAAAATTACCACTAGGGTTAGACTCTGGACACGAGTCAAGAAGACCCGGGTGATAAACAAGATGCTTTAGACTCGATTCAACTATTGATTTCGATAGAGCCGTCCTGTCCAGCAAACAACACGGATCGAATTCGGGTTTCACGGATCGGGTCTTCCGGTTCGGCCTAACATGCTTCTCCCTCACAGTACAACCCATCAGAATCAAACGCACGTCTTTGTATATACGAAAATCTGAAGGAAGAAAACGAAAAAAAAAATATCAAAAGAGATTGAAACAGTGAAGATCATTGAATCCTCAAATGAACACCAAACCAGAATCAAGAGAAATGGGTGTTAATTGATGACAAAATGGTGTTCAAAAAATTTACAGATTTTGAAATTAGAACAAGTATAGAAGAACTTACTGATGATCGGCGATGGCTGTATTTATTTTTCAGCTGGGAAGAACGGACTTAGGTGGAGACGGAAGAAATGAGAAGCTAAAGGGACATGCAAGAAAAAAGGAGACAAGCTTCTTTCTTCAGTGTCTGGTGGTGTGTGTTTCTAACTGACGTGTAATGGGCCTAAATGGGCTTTTCAATGGGTCTGGAGTTTTAATGGTATGAAACGGCACGCCATTTTATGTGCAGTTTACCATCCACTCCTCCTTTTGTCTCCGAAGTTTGACAAGTATCGTCGTCACTAAGCCCCCGGAGCTCCATCTTGCTCATCCTATCGCCAGGTATGGTCTTTTTGAATTTTTGAACTTCGTGTTACCTGTCCTCGATCCTCGTTTGATCTGAATACTCTAATTTTTGCTTTATTTATCTTACCTTGAATCGTTAATATCGAAGTTTCTAAGGTTTTGTTTGGTGAAATTAGTCATGGGTCTGTTAAAATATTTGCTCTTTTTTGGAAAATTTATGGGTTTTGTTTCTGCCAAGAAATTTCAGTCAACTGCTCGCTGATTGTTTCATCAGTGAATTAGTAGCCAATGTAGGTGCCTCGAATTAGTTCTCATCGATTCTTAATTTCGTCGCATCTTTTTGTCATTTGATGGAAGGAGTGATCTGTGGTTTTTAACTTGTTATAGTCAGGGAAGAGGGCAGATTATGGATGATAATACAGCAAAGCTCGGAACTTTGGTTTCTGATGGTGGACTAGTGAACGTGTACATATGGGACATGGACGAGACTCTAATCTTACTAAGATCTCTGTTAAATGGGACTTATGCTGAGTCTTTTAATGGCTCTAAAGATGTTAAAAGAGGTTTAGAGATTGGGAAGAAGTGGGAGGATCACATACTTCAGATCTGTGACGATTTTTTCTTCTACGAGCAAGTAAGTCTTTTCTTCAGTTACAAGTTCATTACCGAGATAATTATGAGATTTCCTCGTAATCTCTGTCACCTACAAAACATTTTCAGGTTGAGGAATGCAATGAGCCATTTCTTGATTCTTTGAGACAGTACGATGACGGAAAGGATCTTTCTGGGTATGATTTCAAACAAGATGACTTTACTACTCCTACTGATGACTTGAACAAGAGGAGACTTGCGTACAGGCATCGAGCTGCTGCGCACAAATATGAAAAGGTACTGATATTTTCCATATGTTACCTGTGACTGATTTTCTACGGCACAAGTACAAATGTCCTTTCTTTATCATTCCAGGGTTTGCGTCCTTTGATTGACAGTGAGACAATGAGTGTATTGGATGAGTTGTATAACGTAACTGATGAATACACAGATGGGTGGCTTTCCTCGGGTAAATATTGAACTTTGTGGGTTTTTTCTTTATTTCTCTGTCTACCGCTCAGTATGGTTTTGTCTCAATTGCAGCAAGGGCTTTCTTGGAGCAGTGTTCATGTGTGCAAGAAGAGTCTGTTGATGGAACAGGTGCAATAGATGAAAATCAAAGCTCTCAGGATGTACACATTCTAGTGACTTCCGGGGCCCTCATACCAAGCCTCGTGAAGTGCCTACTTTTCCGGCTAGATACATTCCTAAGACATGAAAATGGTAAGCTCGGAGACATCTCCTTCAATGGGATACTTAAACTTCAGATCCACGTAGTTATTGCTACGGTGCAAGCTCCTTCATGCATTTGCATTTTTTTTGTGGAAGAAAAAATAAAGCATTGAACAATTTTTGCCTTTCTTTAGTGTACAGTTCGATAGATGTGGGGAAGCTCCAATGTTTCAAATGGATCAAGGAACGTTTCAACCACCCAAAATTCAGATTCTGTGCGATCGGGGATGGATGGGAAGAGTGTGCAGCCGCACAGGCAATGCAATGGCCATTCGTTAAGATTGATTTGCAACCAGATAGCTCCCACAGATTCCCTGGCATAACACCTAAGACTGTGAGCTACTACTTTGCTGCTGTATATGGGAACTCTGATGCTGATACCAGCAAATAGTAACTCTCAAAAACCTTTTTCTTTGTAAAATATGCAAGTAACCCAATTGTTTATACATTATTAGAGTAAGTTAAGTATTTGGTATTTATAACTAATCAGTTCCCTTGGCTTGTTCAAATGTGTAATCATCTCTTTCCAATGACATAAGATCAATATCAGCTATTCAAATAGTGCTTCACTGTTAATCCTTATAGTTGTTTGTTGGTTGGTGTTTTTGGCTTTAGAAGAAGTGAGACCAAAAATAAAAAAGCAAAAAGAGAAATTTGGCCAAGGTAACCTGGTTATTTGAGACATAAATTTGTCTGAGAAACTTGATCGTTACGATTGGTCCATGTTTTCCAGAAACTTGATTTTATAATATAACTCTGAATTCTCTGATATTGAACCGTTGTTCTGCATCTGCCTCAGTCGAATTCCAACAGATGTGTGGTTTTTTTAATGTACGAGTAGACTAGTAGAGTGAAAGCAGTTTAAAGCCTCACGGAAAAAACAAACACAACATATTAAAATCGGTCCGAGACATATCAAGCTACAGAGATCCATCTGATAAGCATTCGGTTTAAGTTCAGATACTATCTTAAGAACCTAGCATAAAACTTAAGACAACACTTATAAACAACAGTCTTGTTACTCGGTTGTTTGCTCTCCAATACACTTTCGCATCCACCATCAATAGTGAGTCTTTTCTTAGGGCTTTGAGACAAAGAGAATCAGCTCGTATGGTTTGAGAAATGTAAAATTGCAAGTGGCTCCAACTGCTAGAGGATACTCAGATACCAAACGAGTCCATCCAGCAGAGAAGCCTGCAGACGTATTTTTCAGGTAACCACCACATTCCATGACTTCTTCATATTTGGGTGATGTATCTTGAACTTGAAATTCGTTCTCTGCTTTGGCATATGTTTTGCTTGAACAGATTTCCGGAGACCCTGAAAATATCAGAACAACGTTTTGATTAACAAATCGATTTTCCAAGAAAGTGTGTAGTGTCTGATTTGTCTTATCTTACCATGAAGATGAGGTGTGATGGTGATATCTGATACTTTGGACTCAAAAGAAGCCAGAGGCAAAATCACATATAAAACAAACAAAAAAAATTGATAAAAAATAAAAATAGATCCTCACGTTTCAGACAGAGAACTGAGAGAGAGCAACAAGACCATATTCTAGAAAATATGGTAAAGAGAGCAAATCGGTGAGTTTTGGATTAACCAATGAAGACTGTTAACCAAAACTCCGCCTTTCAAAGACAGCTAAAATGATTCAACCTTTGAGAGAAGACCCATTGTTACAGATAAACAAAAGTTTTCAATTTTTTTTCCAGTTCCAAACTAAAGCTAACAACAAAATGCATCTTTTAAGAACATGAAGAGTTTTGAATAGAGTTACCATGTTTTTAGAAGAAATATAAACTCGCTGAACCACCTTGAAGAAGCACTCTCTCTTCCGTTCTTCTCTACACCGATCAAAGTCACTGACTCACTGTTTATAGCCATCTTTCTGGATGCTCAAGTGCAAAAAGTTCTGAGTCAAGCTCTTCCAACTTCCAACTTCCAAGTCTCTCTCTCACACCCTCTACTTCAAATTTGCTTTTCTTGTGAAAGCTCTTCTCGATGCGTTACGTAGAGTTGAGTTGTGCAATCAATTGAAAACCACTTTCAATTGACGTCACATAAGTAAACAAAGAAAAACTTTCTTTTGTTTCACTCATATGTCTGTAACTTTTATACCGTATGTTTTAATAAATAATACATAAAAATCTGTATTCTTTTTATCTTTTCTTTTTTTTTGGTCTCAACTGTACGTTTTATGAGCGAAGACTATGGGATTGGACATCCTTGATATATGGGAATTAACACAAGTTTTAACTATTAACCCGATATTTTGTATTCATTTATCAATCTTCAAAATAAAAACATTCTTTTCGTCTCTGTCTTAATGATTTATTTTATTTCACCCACTATTGTTTGTTTTGAACATGAACAATGTAACAACATTTGAAATGACATCAGAATTCCAAATATGGTTTTAGCCAAATAATATAAACATTTTCAGCAAAATTTATTTCTTTCAGCTTGTTTGTTTGTTGAAATAGCGAACTTATAAAATCACACACAAAAATTTTGCAATCTGACTATTTGAGATGTAATATAATTTTACTATAAGAAGAAAAAATCCAAAAAGATAACTATTGACAATTTGCATGTGCCTACGTACATATGTAGCCCACGTACTGACGTACATATGCATAACTTGTGACACGTGTATATTTGTTACACGTGGCGACAACCCAATAGTCTTTAAATTAGATCGGAGAGCATAAAGCAGCAAAGCAAAAAGGAGAATACGTTGAAAGTTTGATAAGGAGAGAAGAAACGAAGATGCAGTCGGCGAAGGAAAAGATCAGCGACATGGCCAGTACGGCCAAGGAGAAGCTCAACATCGGAGGTGCAAAGGCTCAGGGTCATGCGGAGAAGACGATGGCGAGGACCCATAAAGAAAAGAAGTTGGCGGAAGAGCGGGAGAAGTCTAAGGAGGCACAGGCCAAAGCTGAGCTCCACGAATCCAAGGCTGAGCATGCGGCCGACGCTCAGGTTCACGGCCACCATCTTCCTGGTCACTCCACCTACCCTACCCGAGCCACCGGCGCTGCTTACCCGCCGGGACAGATCTAAACCTAGCTCTAGATAGATATATTATAAGATAACCGTCCGTCATAATATGTATGCTTTTTTCGAAAATGTCTTGAAAATGTCGTGGTTATTTTCTATATCTTTTTATTTGTTCTTCTTTTCCTGTTATATGATTTTGATGTTTATGCATAAATCATAATGTACTGTAATATCGCAGAAATAAACTTCACTTAAATAATCTCTACGTGTTACGGTGTGAGTTGGAGGCAGAAGCGTGATTATAAGAGGGGAAAACTTGGTTTTCCTACTAACTGATGGCTGATGCAGAACGTGCATGGAACGTCGATATATAATGTTAGTTCTAAAGTTTAGTGAGAACGCATGATCATAAATCAAAAGATAACTCCAATGTTAATAGTTAACGAGTTTTAAAATATATATTTACAATAGTCCCAAATTAAAATTGATATACAACAATAAAAAGACTACTTATAATATAGTAATAAGAGCTATTTCCGTCCATGGTCAAAACATAACTTAAAATTTTCTGATTGTCAAATGGTGAAGAATCCACACACGATGATTCTGTAGATGAAAACCATTGATGAAATTAAATGCTTTGAAAAATGTAAAAGTATGATTTTTTTTTTGTAAGTGGTTTATTTTGAAGATATAAATATCGATTTGTCATTTCATAAATATTCAAAATCCATACTTTGTATAAATATTCTTATAAAATCATACGACATGTCATTTTCGGTAACATAAATTTTCGTTCATATATACAGTGTATATACTGTAAATGCAAGGTATTTTATTTGGTAATGATAATAATGAAAAGCTTGCATAGATGGTAAACGTTGGTTAGAAAATATATTTTTCTTTCTCTGTATGTACATACGGTTATATACATGTGAAATCGTTCTATGTCTAAAAACAAGTGGACGGAGAAAGACAGTTTAGCCGGTGGGTCGGCCATCGAACTCTAAGCTGTAGGAGTAGACATATAACATCGCAACAATATCAACCAACCGTAGCTTGCCACGTAGTAAATCTTGGCGTGAAAAATCTGTCATCTGTAAGCTTTACACACGGGCTTTACATAAGTTATAACCGCGTTTTATCCAAAACCAATTGCTTTGTGTTCGTATTTTTTTTTCTTTTGGGTGTTTATAAACTCTTTAAGACTTCTTATCCAGTTTTTATCTATCTATTAACAACTCCACAATTCTTGTCTCAAATATGGGTTGTTTGATATCTCCTGTAATGAAACTCCGTCGCCTCTCCTCAGCTGACTCGCGGCGGTTTGCGTACCGGAATATCACCGAGAGTATGGAAGATCCGGTCATAAGGGTGGTGGTAGGGAAGGAGAAGACTGAGTTCTTGGTCGAACCGTACGTACTTGAAGAACACCCGTTTAGAGTCTTGATAGGTTCGGTCAAAGATCGTGCCAAGAACCGGTTAAACAGGAGTGGTAGAGTTGTGTGGCTTGATCATGTCGACTCGATCTTGTTTGAGCACTTGTTGTGGCTTCTTCGGAACGATGCCTCTACGTTTTCGGATTTGGATGTTGTCGAGATCATTGATTTCTATGCTCTGTAAAAAATATGTCGATTAACTTGGTAATATATATGAGCCAATGAGCCATTCATAAAATATATATAATGAAAAAAATTGCGAGAATTCGTCGGCTAGATTTAATTGGGCTATCACCAGAAGGCGAATTATTAGTAGATATGCTACATACGTGGGCCATTGGCTGGCCCTTTATTACTTTTGAAAATTTAAAAAATCAAGAACCAACAAAACATGTTCTCTTTCTAATTCTTAGTTTTGGTGCAACTAATAATATTACGAGGTTGACAAAAAAGAAAAAAAAAATACCCATAACAATATGACGAGAAAAAATAAAATAAATGAAAACGAGTTATAAAATCTACTTTTTTTTTATTTTGCCCTCCAAAGTAAAGTACTTCAAACAAAAATCTAAAGAAGCTTTGGCAACTGTATTTTACAGGTAAGTGGCAGTGTGGCAATATAATCTTGTTAATAAGTATATAACCATTTGCAATATTCAAGTAACCCAATAAATATAGCGGTCAAACATTCGGATGTGATAGTTTGTTTTATGATTAGAGAGGTGTGTATCATAATATCAAACCACAATTAGCAAGTGATCTTTTGCGCCTTTATGGACTTTTTATATAAAGAAATTTTTATTAGCCCTCTTATAGAACATGATCATGTATATAAAGAAACTTTTTATTAGATTCTTACAGAACATGATCATGTTCTTAATAATATTAATATTTTTGCGTAAAAGTTAGTTAAGATACAAAATCCAATGAAGATAAAAAGAATTAATGATCCGTAGTACTTTGGTCAAAATCATCGCTGTCTCTTCTTTTACCCACAGTTAAAAACTTTCATATTCTTAATTTATTTAATCAACACTTCAACATTTATTAGATAACTATATTGTTGACAAAAAGGTATATATAAATATAACTAAATTGTATACTACCCTCACAAAAAACAGCAGCAGTGTACATCTCTAACGTTGTCAATGTAATTTAAACATTTAATTACTTGACTTAAACTAATAAGAACCATTATTTTACTGTATTAGTTCAGGGAAAATGAGCAAAACAGTTTAACCAATAAACAAATCCTAATGTTCTACTCCAAGCTATAAACAATGAGCGTACTGTAGCATTCGACAAAGATAAAGTAATGATTGTTAGTCGATACTAATTGTTTTCGATGAACATTAATTTCGGCTACTTTACTTTATATAATTGCGTGTGTGACAGCTTAGCATCAAATGGGTTGTGCAATTAAGGGCATGATTGGCAATGAGTTTGGTCAAATTAATCAATTTTAATTTATTAATTAGCAATTAGCACTCCACTTGCACTTTCCTTTTGTATTTTACCGCTAATTACTTTAAATTTATCTTTTGTCGTGTACTATTATTTCTGGTCATTTCTTTATGTTATAACATGGTGACCTCAAAATCTGAAAAAGAGAAAAACTTATTCAGCCATGTGTTTGGAGAAAAACCCTAGTGAGCAATATGATTATTGTTTAACTGAGAGAGATACCTCTTCAGTCTTCAGTTATATTATGGTTTTTATAATTAAAAAAAAAAACCATATGCGTTACTTTTTTTTGGTCAATAAACCATATGCGTTACTTACAAGTATATCATATTCTCTTTATTGAAACTGTATTTGTAAAAATGATTTAACCCATTTTACTTACAAGAGAAATGTATTGGCCGGCTATCTTATTCATCTTCGAATAATAATTCAAAGCTTTATACGTGGGTAAATTTGATAACAATAACCAACCAATTATGTTTACGAATTAAAGAATTGGATTAGAATTGAGAAATTAATTCAAAACACAAATCAATAACCTAAGTAAAAATCATGCACTAATAAGTGGGTCAATACATGAATAATACTATTTTCTTTCTTAAATCATATAATTTCATAAAATTTGGAGTGGAGAAAAAAAAGTGTTGAAAAATCAATTTCTTAAATCATAATTTCATAAATTTGTTACTTAAACATTTGCTAAAACGGAGCCCTACCGGCGCCGGCGGAATTCCCCGGCCAACTTTCAACTCCCATCTGAGGCATACTCATCGGCAAGTTAAAGAACGGCAATCCTCCGCCACCACCGGTGGCTTCCGAGTACATATTCCCTCCTCCACCACCGCCGCTTTGAACCTGCAAGTGCTCTTCATGCTCGTCTAGAGGCAACCTTTCGTAAGCCACGTTTGTAAAAGACGCCGCCATGACCATCACCGGCCCTGCCGCCATCAGCTCACCAACTACGTTACCTCCAACGACCTGTCCCTGAGCTCCGGCTAGGAATATAGTCAAGCTGGTCGCCCCTGGAGGAGCAGGCGGCGGAAGAAAAGATCCGGAAAGAGAAAGAATCTCAAAAGTACCGCGGAGAGTCACAACAGCTCCAGCGGCCGTGGGCTGACGGATGCTGACGTTAGTGACGGTTCCAGTGCCGGACAAAACGCAAATCCCTCGCTGTCTCCGGCGTGCGTAAGTGGAGATACACTCGAAAACGTCACAGCCACTTCCGACTTCAAGAATGTGAGCCCTAAGAGTGTTTGCGCTCTCGCGCGTGACGATCACCGGCGGCTTCGGCTTGTTCTTGGATCCAGCTGGACGGCCACGTGGCCTCCTCATGACGAGGTCACCGCTCCCTCCTCCTCCACCGCCCCCTAGTCCAGAGTTATCATTAGAAGCTATTAAATCTAAACCTTGATGATGGCCATGATTATGAAGGTGATGGTGGTGGTTTCCTCCTGCGCCACCGTTATCTTCGTGGTGATTTTCTGTGGTGAACTGGCCGCTGCCGCCGCCATCGACGTTGTGGACGTAGCGAGAACCTGTGCCTAGATCGAGACCAGCCATGCCAACATCAAACAAATAAAAGAAAAGGAAAAAAATTGACGGAAAAGGAAAAGTATATTTAAAACGGGATTGGGGAGATTCTAATGATTTAGGTTTAGATTAAATGGAAGAGATAGCAAGACAAGCAGATAAATTATAAAAAGTGGTGAAGAAAATATATAGAAACCTGAGAAATGATATGTATCAACTAGAGAGAAAGATGAAGAAGAAGACCAAGTCTTCTCTCTAGACCCAATGGCTCCAAGAGACAATTATTATTATAATGTTTTATTCTCTCTTGTATTTATTGTATTATTTTATGTCAAATTCGAGATGAAGTTACTCATAAGTTTTATAATATTGTCGAGTATGTATTAAAGACGTTATTGTGGTTCTTAGATTTCGTTAAATGTATATATTATCGAAGAAGCTAATTAACATTGTTTATGTATATCTACTCACTGAATAAAGCAATGGACACAACATCGAGATCCCAAGAATGTGGAATTATATTATCTTTCATTTGATTCCTATAAACCATAATCTTGTTTTTTTTTTTTTATGTATATACTGTCACGAATTAAATAACCAAACAGGGATTTCTTAGTAATACTCCTCAGGACATTCTATAGAACGAATGCGATTAGACAAAAATGGCTTTTTCCAATGACTAAACTGATTTTTTATTTAGTTTGTACAAAACTACTAAAAGCGTATGCAAATAACTACATAAGATTTAAACAAAGTATTATATATGACGTTCAAGTCAAAATGTATCAAAATGATCCTAATAGATCTTTGGAAAAAAGTGTAAAAAGACTGATGATGGATATATAATACTTAATTAGGGTTGGTGTATTGGGTTAGCCGGCCAGAACGTTAACGTTGTAACCCGTATCAACTATCAATAGTTAAAGTGCACTACCTTGTTGTGTCAAAATAGATTCAACGTTTTATCCTATAAAATCTTCGATACCAACATTCGTGAGACATAGTTTTGAGTCTTTATTAGACCCATCTCTACATTCAGTGTCACTTATATGTCGTCATTCAAACTCTATTTCCTTATCGTCAGTAGAAGAATTAGTATTATTCTATTTTTTTAGTACGTAGTACATTTTATTTGCAGCATCAAATAGGAGGAAATGGATGAAGTTGGCTCAATTGTAAGATAGTAGACAAAAAGAAAAAGAAAAGAAAAGAAAAAACTAAAAATTGTAAACTATAGTCTATAGTTGGTTAACCAAGTTGACCAATTAACTATGGTTTTTGTTTTCTTCTTTGTCAACGATAAACTATGGTTAACACATAACAACTTGAAGTTGTCTATTAATTTAATCACAATAAACAAACAGAACGAAAACGCGGAGATCCATGCGGACAAGTGACGGATGCGCAGTGGGGCGTTGGTCCACTCTCTGATGATAGGCTTTTGCTTTCCTCACCAATGGATTCAGTCTCTATGTTTGTTGTGTTTACATGAAGAAGGAAGATCACCAAATAAAAATTAATGCAACTTTTATATATGAAGCTCTTCTTCAAAAATGATACCCCAAACGATCACTTGGGCATGCATTTTGCAACTCACAACAACTTAATCTGAATAAGCTTTCAATTTTACCAAAAAGAGGAAAAATATGAGATTGAACTGAGAAAATTAAACTGTTAATTATCTACGTACCCTACTATTTCTTTAATTTAATTAAAGATGTTATTCGATTCAAAAATTATAAAAGTAAAAACGTAAAATCATATATAAGTTAAGTTGGTTCTTTTAGTTTCACCTAATGTCAAATTGACTACCATAATTTTTTAAGTCGTCTTTTATAAGAAGCTTATATAATTAACACATAAGTGTGTAGATTTCATATATATATATATATATATATATTATGTTAAATGAAGACTGAAAATAACGGTGCAAATAAAAATAAAATGTAACTCGTGGTGAGTTTTAAAATCAATTGACAAATCTTCTAATTTCTCGAAATAACAAACAGACTTAAAGACCAAAAGACTTTACAGACCACAAGACTGTCTGAATGTTAACAGTTCCAACAAATTAAATTTTATTTTTTTTATATATAGCACATCTATTTATTTATAGTTCACCATCACATAATGAACAACTAAAGACTTCGAGTTCCCAGTTACAACTATCATTAGATGAACAATTAAAAAGGTCTAAATACTGTAATTTTAATAAAGAAAACAAAATTGATTTTTTTTTAATATATATTTTCTTAAATAATAGGAGCGGTTAGCAATAGTTATGAAAGGCACAACGCAATAGTTTATACTTTATACGACGAATACTTAAAAGAAAAAGAAAATATTATATATGGAAAGGGATAGACTCAGCAACGGCGGGACAACGTGTGACGGCTTCTTGTGCTAATGGATCGATTGATCAGCGGAGGAGCCATTTTAATAATAAATCAAGAAGCCGTCCATTAGTTATTAAATTATATATAAAGAATAATAATACTCTATGATCAACTAGTTTTATAATCTTATACAATTCCACCAATCGCTAATCCAATACAAAGAGATAGCTAATTGCATTGGACTTTGAGAGAGTTAATTATTTTGTAAAGATCCTCTTTTGAACTAATAATATTATAATTTTGCTCTTTCGATAATTGAACAGTCTGGAAGTGGTTTGTATTGGTCTTGCGACAGACAGTATAATTATAGTATATACATGCCGATTACATATATTAAGAAGTAATTAGTGTATTACTAAATTATTGTCGTATATACAGATGGCCACCGAACTTTATGCAAAGGTGCAAGTGTGTTCATCTGACCAAATGTTTGTGTTTTTCTTTTCTACTTGTTGTTTCTTTTTTTCTAAGATTGAAATGTAAATATTATTACGAAATTTAAGATAAGCTCATGACTACGTAGGGATCACTCATGTTAAGTGTGTCATGTAAAAAAGTAATCAATAAATCTCGATCGACCAATATAAGAATATCACGGATTGCATATCCATTTGCGTGTATATATATGTTTGCTGCAGGTTTGATGAGACCATTAAATAATTTATCTAGACAGAATAATAAGCGTTAGTTTTTTATATATGGATTGGTCTGATATTTGTTTAAAGAAATTAAGAATAAGACTGTAATGTGAATAAGTCATTAGTTTAATAAATTCCACGGACGCAAAGCATCTTATGATAATACCAACATTTTTGGAATCTTCTCCTGATTTTATGTATAATCCAGCTCAAGATTTTGTGTTTCTTAAAGATTAGACAGACAACTATATAATGAGATATTCTCGTTATTGTTAGTCTTCGATGTAAACTAGTTAGACTAATTATGAATTTATTGTACGTTACACGCAAACAACCTTTAAAATTGAAAACTTCGACCGTTTTGTGTTCTGAAAACAATGGTTAGGGCTAGAAGTGAAAGCAAACCCTGAAATAGTTTCAGCCCTTTTGTTTCATATAGAATACACGTAATCAATAGGGATAAAATTGTATAAATCTATTTTCATTATTTCTTTTATAATGAAAATAACTTGTGGAAGTAAAAATCACATATAGCACTGATGATATAGTAGAAAGTAATTTTTGAAACGTATAATTTCGTAAGAAAAAATTAGAACAAAGATAAACATAGTATATATATATATATATATATATGCGTCTTCTTCAAATCCGTTTAGTTACGTGCAAGTGCAAGGTTGGTGTTTAGAATAATTGAAGTTAAATAATATAATCTGGACATATGAAAGAATATAAAAATATAAACCAATACAATAAGGTTTGCTCCTCCACATGATTCTACCGACTACTCGCCTTCGTTTGTCGTTTTCTGCAAATTAATTCAGATTAGCTTTTATTTTATTTTTGTTTAAAGAGAGGTATTCTCTGCTAAGATTAGTTTTGAATTATCATAAAGAAGACATAAGCAGTTGACCCAAAACAAGAAAGAAGACATATATAGTTATTTAAATGTATCCTTCTGCCTTCCATTATTGGTTTATTACTTAATTAGAGGTTTGGACCAAACTTTGGAGTTCCGACACCATATTAGTGTTTGGTTCCGTCTGTATCATATTTTACTCCCGTATATGTAACCTCACGTTACGTTTACGGATAGTATATTTCATCATTCGTAATATTTTCGATTTCAAATCAGACCTCTCGCCCTAAAGTATTTAAAAGTTCCAGGAAAAAAGATTAATTTAGAGGCCCACTGATTTAAGCCTTTAAGAGATAAAAAAAAGTTTCATCATGAGCAAAATCGAATTCACCACCTTTTAGTACTATTATTTTTATTTTGTCCTTGCCAACAGCCAACTATTTTTGTTTTGGTCGGGAAACTCAGTTTCGACTACCAGCAAAAAAATTTTAGATACTAGTAAATGTCCATATCATTCCGAACATGATATTTAACAACATTAGTATATATAAGCTCTCTAATATTTATTCGAATATTCAAATTCACGTTTATTAATTCTTAACGAATTTTTCCCCAAAAAAAAAAGATTTTCTATTTATGTGTTATGCATAACTAGATAATGTGTCACGCCATACATAAATTATGATTTTAGTTCGTATGTTTGTTCAATATATCACCTACTTTTATTCTACTGTATTTTCGGTTTATGAATAAAAGTACGCAAGAAAATACAGTAGAAGAGATAATGTAGGTGATTTGGTATATAAAATATCGTTTAACTTTCAAATAAACTTAGGTGTTGTGTTATTTAAGTTCTAAGTGAGTTTTTGGATACAAGCAAATGAAATTCAAGGCAATGGAAATACAAGAGCACAAGTGCACAGCGCAATACCTAGAATAGAGATACAAGCCCAATAGAGACTATCGTAAACTACACGTCTACAAAACCATGTACTACAATCTGGCCAATACTGCTTAAACTTTTGTATATATGTTGGTTGGATGGATCAATATAATCACAAAAAGGTTGCAAAAAATAAAATAAAAAGATGACTTGTCAAGTAGTATATAGGGATATTATATATGTACGAGTATATAGTATGTATAATATTCTACTGTGTATGAAGCTCTCTAGTTAATTGGAAGAGGTCCTAGCTAATTTCCCTAATGATCACTATACGACCCCATACCAAAAAAATACACACAAATCCACCTCCAACCAATTAATATCTAGAGTCTATATATAGTTGATTTTAAATCGACTTATCAGAAGCCTCTGATCTAATCATTTCGATTCTCCGACGTAATCTTCTCCGGTGATCGTGAATTTTCCACAGCCCATGTCCTAATACGACCGTCGAGTATATTCCATGCGTCATCATCGGTGCCAAAATATTATCCGTCTGGAAATTTGAAAAATAATTTATATTAGAACCTGGTAATTTAATTAGCAAATTTGTCAACCAGATAATTAGTTAACCAGACGGTTTGATATTTTATTAATGATTAACCGCAGAAAATCGTATAGCTAGCTCTACCAGGAATTATCGGTTATACCAAAGTAAATCCAAATAAAAACCGAACGGGAGATATGTTACCTGAACCCATTCAATGCCGAGGTAGAGGGCTAAGAGTCCTTCGAGGAGGGGAGAGTAAATCTTCTTCATCTGCCTCTTCTCGTACCAAGCTGCTCAAAGCAATCACAAAAACATATTAAAACCAAACTGGTTAACATTTTCATGTTCTCCGAGTAATTTGTCACAACAACATGATCAGAAGAAGAGAATTGAGTACCTGACAAAAGCTTCTTAAAATCATCTCGGCGTGACCTTAAAACCGGGGCAACAATGTACGTAGGGTCTGAAATCGAAAACAAGAAATGAGAAAGAAGTGCATCAACAAAAGAAACTAGATGATAAAAATTTTGAATGAAAGAAACTATAGATAATATTATCAAGACATGATCAAATCCTAACCTTTTGGAGAAGCAGCAAAAAAGTAGAGAGAGCCTGTGAGAGTGGCAGTGATTACAGCTGCAAACGCTTGAGCAAATGGGACAAATGGAGGAAATACTCCTGTCTACAGGTAAACAACAAGCACCATATGACCTCCATGCAGATATACAATGGAAAATCTAAACGTAGAAAAGTAAAATGTGGCAAGTAGAGTTTTTTAACTACCAGAGATGCCATGCCTTTAGAATCTGACATCAATTGTGTTCCTTTCAAGAATATATCAGACAGAGCACCCTATGAGAATTCAAACAATTACAGAGATTAATCAGTCATAAGGTACTCAATCAAAGTGGTCAATAGTAAGTTGTAATGAAACCATACCTGTACAGCAACACGGTAAAAGAGCTCTTCTCCTATCGAACTGGCAGCGACGATGAGTATGAACTGAAGAAAACAACCAGAGATTGAAAACCTTGCTTAAAACCAAGAACTCGATATCGAAGATTTGACAAAACCAAGAGCTCGATATCGAAGATTTGACAAAACCAAGAAAAAAAAACCATTATCTTTCACCTGCCATGGCGACATTCCAAAGAAAAAGCTTCTAAGCTCCTCATCTTCCACATCTCTGATGGCACGAGCGTGCGGTGATAGCTTCACAACTTCATCCTGAAACCAAACAAAGATAATTCATCTAAAACCAATTCTAACAAAACACTAGAAGAATAAAAAAGATGATATAAAGAGGTTAATTACTAGCTTACATCGAGAATGAAGAGAAGAGCCATGATTGGTGGAGTTGCATAGCCAAGTCCAGAAAGAAGTGCATCAATAGAAATATCAAACCCACCAGATGAGTCGATTCCAGTCACAGAACATATGAATCTTCCTGCTACAGCCATTGCTCCATATATTCCTAATGATCCAAACACACATTATATCAATTTCAATCCCAAAACAAATGATCCCACTCTAAGTTAAATTTCAAGTTTCACATATCAGAGCCACAAGAAACAATATTGTAAATCTACTCACCGATTCCATAAGTAAGTCTAACAACGGCGCCGATTTTGTCCCAAATCGGGAAATCAACGGTGGTGGAATTAGCGAAGCCACGATCAAGTGTTGTCACCTCCATAGTCGAACCGGAGAATCTTCCTGCTCCTCCTCCGCCACCGACGCCGTCTGTCTTCTCAATCCCTTCGCTGCTGCTTCGTTCGGCGGAAACTTTAACGCTTCGTGATCTTTCTCCACCATTGAATCTCATCCTCAAACTCCGTCTTGTCTCCGGGAAGTCAGATAAACTAGTTGAGGAAGAAGAAGAAGAAGAAGAGCATAAGCCAGTCCGTGAAAACGAAGGGGAGCTAGCGTAAGAGAGTAAAGGAAGCTCCATTGCTGCTTCGGTCGTCGAGGTAATCGGAAACTAAAAAACCTCAGTCGTGATGTCTGACCAGTGAAGAAGTATCAGAGTGATTCGTCTTCTTCATTTGCCTCTGTGTTCTCCTCGGCTCTGTGAGCGTGTGCTTGGTGTTTTTTTGGGTTCTTTGAATATATACGAGATCCAAAGCTGGAGAGATAAGGTTTTTTCTGGTCCGTTGGATTTTTATCGTACGGTTAGGAGGATATGATTTTAGATGAAGCATATCTTCCTAACCAACCATTTTTAGACACGTGGAGATAACATTGGCGGGATCAGAGAACGGAGGTAACTGTCGTCTCCTTATTATTTAATATCTTAAAATATATAAAATCACTGTAGTTTTAAATTTTAATAATGTAAAGGAGACGAAATCCAGGAAATTAATTTCACAATCAAAAGACAGTAGCTTTCATATCTATATATTTTTAATTTTTTTTCCTTTGTTTCTTTTTATATAAATTCAATTTCTTTTAACTTTTGTTTATATATATATATATATATATATATATTCCTACCAAAAAAAAAAAATACATACCTTAATATTGTTAGTCATGATCCCAAATAATAAATGCATATATATATATATATATATATATATAAGGAAGACTATTTTAACAAATATCTTTGAAAATCTTCAAAACATTTGGTAAGTTTTTTTAATCTTTTTGGTCAAAAGATTATTAAAGAGTACTTATGGTAATAGATTAAATAGTTGTTGACTTTATATACTGGAGAGTATCATAAATAATAATTTGAGAGAATCAAAGGAAAATAACTTATCAATGGCGTTACATCTAGTGTTATGTCTCTGTGTTTATCTGCTTGTTACACAAGGCGCACAAGGCAACATTGATGTGAGACTCCTTTAACTTATGTTTGTTTGTTACTTTCAAGATTTTCATTTTTTTTACTCTTACAACTTTTCTCTTACTTTTCAAGAAATTTTACAGGAATATGATTGTGTTGACATGTACAAACAACCAGCTTTCCAGCATCCATTGTTGAAAAACCACAAAATTCAGGTAAAGTAGTAAAATAACTAAGATCTCATTTTATTCGATGGAGTCCAAATCAAATCAATTCTAGTTTATATAATAGAATGAATAGCTATGGACTATGGTCAATCAATCAGCTATGAAACAAGTAGTTCGAGAAACATTTGTTATGCCTAATCTTACTTTTCTTTTGTTACTTGTGATGGATATATAGGAAACATTCATCTTAGATGGTAATATTGATAGTATCAACACATATACTAGCACAAAAGAGGATTGTCCAAAAGGAACAGTTGCAATTTTAAGACAAGGAAACGAATCTCAGAACGTTCATTTGAATTCAGCCCAGTATTTTGGTCAACATGTATGTCTCTCTATCTCATTTATATTTTTGTTTTCGAAAGGAGTAGTAAACTCTCATTTAGTTATTAAGATGACATATTTACAAATTTTACAGTTTGCAACAATTGAGACAGTGCTAGATGGAAGCATCTATCGAGGAACTGATGCAGAAATAAGTATTCATGATTTAAATTTGCAAAATAATCAGTATAGTAAAAGTCAAATATGGTTAGAGAATGGATCCAATAGTATACAAGCGGGTTGGGCAGTAAGTTTGTACCACCAATTATTTACTAAATATTCTGTATTTTATAAATAATCATGTGTTTAACATATATGATTATTTTAACTATATGTTTGTTTTTTATTATTTATATAGGTGCATCCAAGGTTATACGGTGACAGTGTCACACGATTTACTATATATTGGACTGTAAGTAATTTTTAGTTAATCTTAAATCTTATTCACATAACAACAATAATTATATTAGAGTAAGAAAAAAAACAATTGGATGTATGATCCTTACTAATTTATTTACTTAACTTTCTTAATTTATTTTAGAGAGATGGTTATCATAAAATAGGATGTTACAATACTCAATGTCCTGGCTTTGTGGTTGTAAGTCGAAACCTCATTATTGGAAAAGGATTTTGGGGGTCATCCGTCTATGGTCAAACAATTCTTACATATAGATTGCAAATTTATCAGGTAAAGTTCTTTTTATTCTTATAACGAAAAATATATATTTAGTTTTAAAGTATATCAAACCATCCAATAATTTTGACATTTTGTATACTTGTTGAAAGTATTTTTTTTTTCTTTTCATTTCTTTGTTTCATGTGTATTAGGATGGCATTAGCGGAAATTGGATACTTAAAATGGCTAATGAAGTGATTGGTTACTGGCCGAGAGAGATACTTACGTATTTAAACAAAGGAGCTTCTCTAATAAGATATGGAGGAAATACTTATTTATCTCCTGATGGAATTAGTCCTCCAATGGGTAATGGACATTTTCCAGTTGCAGATTATAAAAAGACTGCACATTTTAAAAACATTGCAGTTAGAAACCCTAACTATGAGAGAGTTTATCTTGAGGATAAGGTAGTAAGACTTTATGCTGATTGTAATAGTTGCTATAGGGTAACATATTGGGGTTACTTTAAATCCACTGGAGTGTCCTTTTCATTTGGAGGAACAGGTGGAAACTGTGGTACTTGATGAATTGATGGATTCAATTATATGTTATGTACCAACCAAATAAGATGAAGCAAGTTTCTGAATAAAAAACAGAAGTTATCTAAATTGTTTTGGTGTCTAAACGAAGATCAAATGAGCCTTTGTTACTTGTTAGAGACGATTTCTCAAATTTTCATTTCTCATTTTTAACGAGCTTCATATTTAGAAATGATAGGCCCAATAAGAACAAAGTTCAAGCCCAATTTTTTTTATTTCCTTATTTCTTCTTCTTCTTCTTCTTCAGTCATATCCTTAAACCCCTAGTCTCGCCATCGCCGGGAACAACAATAATCTCAATGGCGAAAACTCTATCCCGATCCACCGCCTCACGCGTTGCTAGTCGTTTCTTTTCCACCTCTAATGCCGCCGCTTCTCATTCCACGCTTCCATCTCACCTCCTATCCCGTAGAACCTCACCGACGCTTTTCCACGCCATCGGTTACATCCCCGCTCTGACCCGTTTCACAACGATCCGGACCCGGATGGATAGGTCCGGTGGCTCGTATTCGCCGCTCAAATCCGGATCCAATTTCAGTGATCGACCACCCACTGAAATGGCGCCGCTATTTCCTGGTTGCGATTACGAGCATTGGCTGATCGTCATGGAAAAGCCCGGCGGCGAAAACGCGCAGAAACAGCAAATGATTGATTGCTATGTTCAAACCCTAGCCAAAATTGTCGGCAGGTAAGTCCTTTGTCGTGTTCGTTAGTATTCCTCAGCTACTTCACCCTTATCTGATTGTTGTTTTGGTTTATCAGTGAGGAAGAAGCTAAGAAGAAGATCTACAATGTTTCGTGTGAGAGGTACTTTGGATTTGGTTGTCAGATCGATGAGGAAACATCAAACAAACTTGAAGGTAATCTTTTGCCAGTTACTTGATGTGTATGGTTCTTTAGAATCAGGTGATGGAATTGGATTTTTCGTGAGTTTAGGACTTCCTGGTGTTATGTTCGTGCTTCCGGACTCCTATGTTGATCCAGAGAACAAAGATTACGGAGGTAAGTGTATCAGCACTGTTTTGCATTTTCATTTTCACACTTAATGTATTCATTGATCATTTCTTGATGTCCGTTGTCATAATCATCAACAACTTATCGGATTAAAGTCTGTTTTTGCATCAATGAGTTGATGCATTATTCCTGGATTTTCATAGAAAAACATTTTTTTTTTATCATGCATTGTTCATATGTACGAAAGGGTGAACTTACTGAGTGCTTCTTTGGTTAATTATATCAGCTTAGCTCATAAACTCGTTGCTGAATGTTTTTGCAATTGCAGCTGAGTTGTTTGAGAACGGAGAAGTAGTTCCGCGTCCACCAGAGAGACAGAGGAGAATAGTGGAGTTAACAACTCAAAGAGGATCAGACAAACCAAAGTATCATGACAGAACCAGAAATGTCCGACGGAGGGAGAACATGCGTTGACTGAGACTCTACGCTAGAGCTTTTGAGCTCAGATGCTCTTCTTTTTTCTTTGTTCTTTTAATTTGCTCGACTCTTAACGAATAATGTATATGATGGTGTTTTTTGGTGATAGCGAATGTATCAGTTGTTTCTGGGACTGTGACTGTTATTATCCAAATAAATCTTCTTTTAGTTTGTCACTTGTCAATCTTTCATTTGAACAAACGATTTGTTCTTCGGTTTGAGTACAGTTCAAAATCAGAAATCAAACGTTAGCCTATCAAAATAACGATGAACAACCAAGTTCACTCTCTTCTTTTACATATGTTCTTTAACAGCTTCATGGGATCTTGCCACGTGAGCTCAGCCACATCGCAAAGACACAGGACAAGCAGGCCTTCTACCACCTTCCGTATCAGCAACTTATAAGCACCTCTGAGCAAATGAGAGAGAGGCCTAGAAACCTGAAGAGTCGACAATTTTTATTTGGTTTCGAGGACAAGTGCTCATATATAAAAGAGTTATTGGCTGTGGCTAGTGCCTCCTTTGATGCAGGAAAGTGGCAAAAGATAATTCAAGATCATCCTCGTAGCATTTAGCAACCCCCTCTGAGGCTTGTAAGAAGACAACATACATGCAAATGTGCTATTTTTCTTCATTTTCCCGAGACTAACTAAACTATTCAAGATCTTCGCCTAAAGGAAAAACGAGTTACACGTAAGTTAGCTTTCCTTTGAACTTAATATTTTCCCTTGAGACACTTGCCTACCAGAAGCTTTAGCCACCCCAAAGCAAAGGAAAACACGATGACATGACTAGATCGATCAGTTGCAGGTTGATATAGCTTTGCTTAGACTAACTCCAAGCGGACGAATTTGAGATCATCAAATACTGCACCTTTTGTTATCAATGTACAAATTGTTATCCATTGTTATCCAAAAAAATCTTCACTTCTCAATCTTTTTGTTGAATAAACGAATTACAGTAATAATATGTAATTGATCATCACTTTTATGTTCAGTAAAAACTAAAAAGTAGAAAGAAATATTTGCTTTGGAAACACCCAAAAATCATATAAATTGACTGAGTTGTCTGTCTTCTGTGTACAAATTATGCAAAGATATAACTAATTTTGTGACAAACAAAAACAAAGGTAATCATTCTCATCCCAAGATTCCCAACTTTTGACCTATAAAACTCCACAGAGAAAGAAAAAAAAAAAACCTATAAATCTTCATTGCTTCTAAAAGCTCCTTTAGTGTTTACGCATCTATTTTGCTGCGTCTATCCACTGTAGGCTTTGAAGTTTAAGCTTCTTCCATAGTACAGACTAACCTAGGGAGATTTACTGAATTCAATGAATCGGATAGGGAGAAAAGAGGACACCTAGTAATCACTCCATCTTGGACTTGGAATGGGGAAGAACCCGGATGGAGATAATGGGAACATAAGCCCTGGCGAAGGAGGAGGCAGAGGAGGACCTGGACCTGGACCTGCACCGGGTCCAAGATTTCCTTGTTGAGCAATTTGTGAAAAGGAGAAGTTTGGGGTAAGTGGTTGAGGATACTGAACTCCTGGTGATAGTAATGGGTAAGGTGATCTTGGAGAGATCATATTCGGGTAACCACCAGTAGGAGATGGTAGAAGGAACTGGGATGTAGGTGAGTTTAGTGGTCCGAAACCATTATATCGAGGAGAAGGAACTCCACCATACATCTGACTGAACCTGGGAGAGGGCAAACTGGGGGTGACAGGTACAGGAGCATTGAACCGAGGGGAAGGGAGATTATGAGGCATTGGGCTAGGAACTAACCCGGGTGGTGGTAGATACTGGTTAGGTTGAAGTAGCCCCTGCATATTCATTCGAGGTTGAGATCCAGGCATCATATGTGGCTGAGGAGGTTGAAGTTGAGGTTGAGGCTGAGCTGGTATATATGGCTGCTGCTCATGACCTGGAATATATGGCTGCTGCTCTTGACCTGGAATATATGGCCTCTGCTCTTGACCTGGGATATATGGCCGCTGCTCTTGACCTGGGATATATGTCCGCTGGTCTTGACCTGGGATATAAGGCCGCTGCTCATGACCTGGCTGCATTTGGTTACCATTGGGTCCTGAATCTCCAAGTGAGCTTTGAAGATATCGCATATACTCTGAGACAGGAGACTCAGCTGTATTAGACCAAAATTGGTCCCCTTGACCCATCATCATTGGTTGGTGTGTGCCTTGTGGGAAAGGTGGCTGGGGTGGAGGTGGTCTAGCAAACTGCGGATGAGATTGAGGAGGAAGCATAGCAGGGGGAGGAATCGCAGGCCGGTTTATCTGCGTTAAGGGAGCTGGTCTAATCCGCTGCAACCGTGTATTCTGAGGCTTTGGTGGGTTGTTCTGCGGAGGACGAGGAAGGCTTTCACGTGCTGGAGAACCCGTTAGCTGCTGAACAATACTTCTGAAGTCGTTTTTGCTTATGTTATAAACCTGAGGCTGGTTTTGAGGCCTTGCAGCAGAGGAGTTGTGAAGATTCGCAGAAACATTCGGTTGATGCAGAGGACTCTTCCTGATATTCTTCCCAATCTTATTCACACCCAAATGATCATTTTGCCTAGGCCTATCCATCTCCACCAAAATCCACTCTAAATTCCAATACTATACCTCTGATAAAACCTCACTACCAAACCTGAAAACATCCAACAGACCAAACACCAAATATAATCCAAGAAGTATCCTAATTCAGCCAAAACCCAAACCTTTCGCAGCTCTGTCTATAGATTATCTAATCCAACAAATATTCACCAAAGAAACTGAAACTAATCATTAACCAACCAATGAGTCCAAAATCGAATCAAAATTCAGCTGCAAGTGCCTAGCCTAAGAAAATGGATCACCTCAGTTCTTGAGCTACTTTATCCTCCCCTGAACCCAAAAACCCACAATTCCAATCCCAGAAACTCAATCAAACACTAAAGCAAATTACAATTCTGACACTCTACCCCAATTCTATGTCTATCCCACCGGACCCCTAGTCAAAGGAAAAAAAGAGATTGAGATGGAGCAAAAGATTATGTCTTTCACCTGAGAATCTGGATCCGAGCTTACACCAGAAGAGCCCAGAGACTAATTTCAATCAGATCTTTGAACACGATACAGAGAAGAGAATTGAAGTGAACCCTAGTTCTGTCAACGAAGAAATGAGACGAAACTAAAGATTCTCCGATTTTTTTTGTGTGTCTTTTTCTTATTTATTTTTATATTCGTTTTTTGCCAGACTGGCGTGATGTGGAGCTGACGTGTTCGGATCATCACTCTCATCTCCTGCATATATCTTCCCATGTATTTTCTATGTTTGTTCCAAAACAATTTAGAGAAAATGGAAGGAATCTAAATATATTAGGAAGAGAATACATAGGAATAATTGAAATTTTGATTCTACAAGCAAAGAAAGCATTTTTAGAAAACCCTTATTTTGCAAGGTATCTATATGCGTACTCCTTTCTCGAAAAAGTTGATATCATTCTATATTAGTGATATAATTCTAATAAAAATATAAATTATAGTGAAGAAATCATTTTTTATAATAAGAAATTAAATTCTAATAATTTATTTGATAAATATATATTTAATTTAAAAATAGAACTATCAAATGAGTTAATCTTGTCCGTCAAACTCATCTCGTATCAGGACAATAAATTTTGACATAGAAAACTCCGTCGTTTGAGATCTGTAGTAGTAAAACCACATACCCACATCTACTTGCGAATATGCAAGATCTGCAGATTCTCCTTAGACATTTTCATAAATCACATTTTCTACTTTATAAAATATTATTTAAAATATATGGGTAACCTGTAATCGAGCTTAATCTGTAAAAAACCAGCAGTTTATGGAAACTCCGCATTCGCCAGATCCGCTTTGTAGAGTTGGAAATTTTAGATATGCATTCGTTTTGCGTCAATATAGTCGAAGAAAGGCTTGCAGACCTACAAAAAAACTCGATCTATATCACAAGTATAAAATATGATAAACAACCAATCAATCTATGAAATTAGATAGTGAAATAAATTTTGATAGTGAGAAAGAGATGAATCGCCGAAATTTTTTTATAAGCCTCTAATTTTCACTATTGATTTTCTGTCTTTGTTTTCCTATTTATAGAGAGTCATGTTGCTAACCTAATCCACGTCGGATTAAATATTTAATACCATATCTTCTTAAGATGTGCTTGCTGACAAAATATGAAAATATTTTTTAATAACTGTGTTTATCCTTAACTAGTCAAATTTGTGTTAATCCTATTTGAGATATTTTGGAATATCATTTATTTGAATTTATTATTGGATTTGTTCCACTATATGTTAATTATAAAAATTTATACCTAAACTTACATGTTTCTACACACACAAAAATAGAGAAAAAGATACAAAAAAAGGTTTTTATATTTCTTTTATTCATCAAAACATTTTTCCCAACTGGTGAAACATATCAAAACTATCTCTGCACTGTTTTATAAGTCCTTTTTATATTTCAAACCAAAAAGTTGAACACACAGAAATTATGTAAACTGTAAAAACATAAAAAAAATTTAATGGGGTGAGAGAGGCTCGAACTCTCGACCTCAGGATCACTCAGCAGCTATGAGACCTACGCGCTAGCCAACTGCGCCACCACCCCATTTGCTTTATTATTTATATCAATAGTTTATATTGTCTATTTATCTGTCAGCTATTAATTATCCTTGTTCGAAGTTTCAAACACTCGGATGAAGACGTCTATATACTTTTGAGTGTGTGTGTGTGTGTTTGTGCTAAAACGTTTCTATACTTTTGTGCATGGATGAGAACAAAACGGTTCAAGACTTAAGAGGCATTAGTGACCATCTCATGATATATATATTGTATGGAGAACCGATCGAGAAAGGCCACGCAAAATATAGGAAGCAGATATGATGTTAGAAAAATGAACATTTTGAACCTTCTTGGTCAATATATATATATATATTTTTTTCATCATGAGCTCTGTTGATTCAGAGGATCTTGATTCATCATGAGCTCTGTTCCTTCTTCTCATGGACTCTAGCTTGGATAGAAACTTCAGGTTTGTTATTATAAAATCTTCATTAAGAAAATAAATGTATATATATGAACTTTCACAGGTTTTCTCATATGTGGGATCAAGAAAATCCGTAAACTCATCGATATCTTACAATGCACAGGCTGCCCTTATGATCTGAATACAACAGAACAAGTTAACAACAACATGTACAATAGAAGAAACCTAGCGAATGGTCTGTCTTATTCCTTTATCGTCTCTTCGATTCTTAGCTGATCTTTTTGTTTCTTTAGATCCTCAAAGCTCCAGTCCCTTCTGATCCCACTGCTTCTGATCAGCTTGGGCTCGTCGAGATCCCCATAGACCATGATCTCCGCACTGTAAAGCCTGCGATGACCCCTATTGACCGGTCTCGGCACAGGCAACGATGATCTGTTCCTTACCATCTTTTCAAACCCTGAAGCTGCGAAATTTGCACTTAAGTTTGAATCTTTACGGCTCTCCATGTCTCTGTCGGAGTCTGTTCTTTGGAGGATGTGGCAAGCGAGGCAGTTCAGGCTCATCGTTTCTGTTTCTTACGGAAATGAATTTGAAAATGAGAGACTTGTCAAAGGGGAATGCAGGCTGTTGTATATCACAAAGAGAGCTCAAACTCCAAATGACAACCTTTTGGAGATGTTCTTTTTAGGGTTTAGGTTGTTTGATTGACAAGAAAAGAATATGAGGCCAAAATGAAAACCCTTTATTAATGGGTTTCGATTGCTTTGTTGTTGAGCAATTAGGGGGGTAAAAAGATAATACTAACCGTTTTTTTTTTTAATGCAAATTGCAAAATAGAGATAAAAACATATGTGAGCTTTTTGGGTCAAGGCTTGGCAGTTTTTGTTTATTTTAAGTGTTTGATTGTTCCATTCCATGGATAAGAAAAAGTTTTTATAGTCTACGCTTTTTTTAAGGTTACTCTATTTTAGGTCTACTTATTCTGAGGGTCAATTCAAGATTACACTTTTAAAATTTACCAAAAAAAAGAAAAGAAAAAAGAATGATATGCAAATGCAGTTATTCCAAGTATACAAAAATTTCAACCTCATCTCTGGACTCTTGACTAGAGTTATCCCTCTCATTCTTCGGTTTTGGCTGTTTGTCTGGTAGACTATTCTTACAAAGCACATATATTGATGGTGCCATTAAAATATGATTACATGAACACGTACGTATGCTTGTTTTAGATATTTCTCTTAAAATATATATTTTGTTTGGTTAAAAATATCTTTTGGACATACTCAAGTTCCATGCAGAAACATCAAATTTCCATACCTAGCAAAATCCATTAACATTTAATTTGTACTATGTAGCAAACAAAATTCTGAATGGATTGTGACTTATATCTTCTAATAATGAAACATTCGTTAAACAAATAACTTGAAAGGACGGTGGATGAAAATATGTGCACAAGAATTCATCAGTTTTTGGGAAGTATATATAGATTTGCTGTGGCAAAAGGAAACAGTTTAGCTAGTGGGTGGGAAGGGGCCATCCCTCGACACATCATGTGACCCGATGAAGCTCTTCAATGATTTAGGTCCCTCAGTTTTATGACAGCGTCTTTATCGATCCATCACCATTTGAGAGATCTTTTTATCACAAAACATTATTATTTTGGTATAATTTAGTTATATAGTTAAGTTTTGTCATATTATATAACTATATTATATCAATGAATTGTATAAAACTAAACTAAAATATATCAAAGAATACCAAAATGTTGTGTCACTTGGAAGATCCAAGTCCATATATGTCGTTAACTGAGTGTTTAAAAGAAATGAAATAATAGTCTTCATGTTATTATTCACTTGTGGTAGATTTGAAATCCAAACTTGTAGAAGAAAACATGATGTATAAATAAATTATTACCCCATAATTTTCTCAAAAGATCCCTAGGATAAAACCCTAATTTATCTTGGATATCAACATGATCCGGAGCTGCTCTTGAGTATAGATTTTGAAATCCATCTTCACCGTGGCTTGTTGAACCATAAGATCGTTGACCACCACAACGCTCGCATGGTCCACCTCTAGCTCCATGTCCATCAAGGCTTTCATCATTCTCGCCTCTGGATGATTTTGCTTGCTTGATTTGACTTTGATCATCGCATAGCTTTCAATTACCTTCACTTCGATCTCCATCCCCTCTGGCTCCTTGGACGATGCGACTCTTCGTTCGGCTAGCTCCTTCTTCACTTCCTCGAGCTGGATCTCGATCTCATTTCTCTCAGATACGGCTTTGTCTACTTTGGCCTTCAGTTCGTTGATGTAAGTGATGGTGTCGCTGAGCAACGACTCTTTGTCCATCTTGGACACTTTGGGCACCACTGCTCGTAATGCGTAGAACAGCTGGTTTAGATTGTTACGTCTCTGCCGCTCAGCCTCCACGTGGTCTCTCGGCTTTTCCCTGCTTTTCGACGACCTTGTCACTCGTTTCTTTAGCAGTTTCTGATCTGGCACCTCGCTAGAGTTGGTGGGGTTTGAACAAGCATTCTCCAGCTTTCGTGACTTAGAGATAACCCTGGAGCTTGAGCTTTGAGCTACGTTAACCCAGTCAGGGCTCAAGCTGTGAAGAGTGTTTAAGTTGAAAAGGTTTTGGATTTTGTTAATCAGATCTGAGCTCTGTGGGATCAACTCCGTGGAACCAAGTTCCAAGACTCCGTTAGCCAGCGGGATACATGCGATGGTCTCCCCACCGAAGTCCCCTTCCTCTTTAGCTCGCTCGATGCCTGACCTGCGTATCTGATCCGACCCGGAAACCCAAACCGGGGTCGAAGTGGAGAACGCATGACCCACTAATCCGGATCCTCTTGAAAAGCTCCACGACATCGATTTCAAGTAGAACCATTCTATGTCCGTCACTATCACGTCGCTGTCCTCGGGTTTAAGCTCCAACATAACCTTGTTCCAAGGCTCCTGGTCAGCCGGAGTCGACTTCGTTTTCCTCTTAGAATCTTCTTGGCCTTTGTAAAACCCATCTCCCCACACTAGTACGGTCTCGCCGGAATTATCGAACGAAGGCTGCCAGTAAATGGCGTAAGTCCAGCCCCTGTGAGTTCCATCCAACACCGCCTGCAATAGCTTCTGGACAGCTGTCTCTACCGGCCACATCTCCGAGTTGTCGGAGAAATTCATAAAACCCTCGACGGTTGAGTCTTCGGCGTTATTACACTGATCATTCGTCGTTAAAGAAAAAGGAAGAATAGAGAGTGTTTCGACTGGGAAAACCGAAGGAATCTGAGGTTATATCTAATCTATTAGAGCCCTATCTATCAATCTTTATATGTGTTGTAAGTAGTAAATATATATGTGGCTCATTATTGGAAGGGACTGTGCTAGATTTTATGATTCGTAGATAATGTGTTGCGTGAGGTGGTGGTTAGTTTGGTCACTAGCTATTCTGAGAGTAGTCATTTTCTAATATGGAATGATTTGTGATCAGTTAAATGATTAGAAGAATGGTCTCTTCTTGTCTTACACGTTCTAACAAACTATATATATGAATATTCCCTGGAGTATCAAGGATTTATTTGTTACATAATCAAATTATATATGGATTGTATATATTGTTGTCGCTTAAAGGTGCCAGAAAGTATAAATTTTTGGTCGCTTGAAGGTTTCGTGCCATACTAATTAAGAAGCTTAGTGGCCGCTTGATAATCAGTTTGAACGTTGCTGCTACACTTTTCATGTTTCAGTAAAGAGTAAACTCATCAACTGGTCGATAAAATTTGGATAATCGCAATACAATTGAATAGTATTTTTTTTCATTTCGACCTTAGAACATAGCATGAAATATAAACATAATAACAAAATTGAAACTCTTGCTAAACCAAATCAGAACAAGTTTTGGAAAGTTAATTACATTTATAGCTAGAAATTGTTATAAACTTCGCCTTGATCATAAAAATCATAATTAGTTTTATATAATACAAATTATTCATTATTTTTCCAATAAAATGAAGTTTACATAGATTTGCACTTTCGCTTGAATAAAGTTAAAGTATAATTTGGCGAACCTGCACACATATATTTTGACTGATCTACTAATTTATCACACCATAATCATTTACTTAAATGTCTCCTCCAAATCATAACATATAGTCATATAGTATAGAGATTCGTTTGAATACATCCCAAGCTAGTTTTATTTCAATAATAATTCAAGAAATAAAAAATCAAATAGATTGGAATCTCCGGGTGAGAGAGATTCACCCCTAAGAAAAATATACTGTAAATAGAATTTGTAGACTCATCAAATTAGGAAAAACACTGTTGCTAGTCCAGTTTTGGTAGCTACTGCGGGGTGTCAATTATTTTTGAAACACTCTTTTTTAGCCACAAAATATGTATAGAGGCATGATAGTGACAACTGATAAGCTGTGACCACAAATCCATTATTTTTGTTAACTTATTATTACACAGTTGCTTTGTCAGCAATTCAATACTCCAAACAAGAACAAGAAAAAGCACGTGATGATATTCTTCTACAGTTCTACTCAACAAATGAATAGCACAGTTTTATCGTGGGGGGGATAGTATTTGCCTTTTGGCGTATCCACACACTCTTCGACCCGGCAACAACTATTATGATAAATTAAAGAGAAACATGGAGCTTCTGTCATAGTAATATTGTTAGTAACGCTCGCATTTCATGAAGAGCACGTGAAAAAACCAAATTGGTGCAGTTGAGTTAGCAGCCTCGACGAAAATATCAAAGCAGCTTCCTGAAAATTCTTTTTAACTAGATAGCCAAAACAATATTGATGGTCCATTTTTGGTTTCTGAATATTAAAACTGTTTCCTGCTGACACACTCTTCTTCACACCCACACAATTTATAGGCATTATAGTGACAGCTGATGAACGTCGTACAAAAGCTATGACCACTTTTTTATTTTTTTGTCAGCATATAAACTTGTTCATGATGATAATCTATAGACTATACATTTACGTGGGAGCTTTATAACTTATACCCACTCTTCTGCCGACATTTCAACTAGTCTAAAAATAAGCTATTTCCCCATTATAATTAGAAATATGGAACTGTACATGTTTTTTTACGTACAAATTAAGTGTATTGCAGCTATATTGTCAACAAAAGAAAAAAAATAAAAAAAATAACGCAAGGCATATTGAAATCTATCTTTATAGAAACATCAAAATATTGTAGCTAGTGTATTTCAGAAAACAAAAAAAAAAGAAGAAGTTGATGAATATATAGCTTGCCCTCTGTGTTGGTCGTTGGTTAGGTTGGGGTTTTAGTTCAAACTGTAATCTCCCTAAATGGCTTAGTTGGTGCTCTGTTTCTATCTTTATTTTGGTGTATGATGGTTTGGTATGCATGTAGATCAGTAAAGTCGGATGCATCTAAGACAATAAACGTCAAAATGCACTCCACATATATATGTTTATTTGATGACAGTTTTTAACAAATTCATAATCTCATATTATACAAAATATTGATAATTTTCAGTTACAACAAAACAGTGTTTCCCTTGTAAAGAATAGAATAATTGATTTGGAAATGGGACTTAGGGTATAAACAAAAAAATTGAATGGGTTTGTGTCTTTCCAGAAAAAATCATAAAACCTTTCAGACCCATAAGCTGGAAGCAACAGAGCCGAGCTTCTTCGTTGTCTCCTCTGCCATGTTCTTCAATGATGACATGTCTTGTTGGGCCTAACATATCCATAAAACGATGTCTTGATATATATTTTATGTTTGCATAGAGCATGATGATCAGTTACAGAAATGAAACCTGGATAGAGAGACGGTTGAGAAGATCGCCGGCGGTGAGATCAAGAGGGAAATCTCCATCACTGTCTCCAAAAAGATCAGCACTAGAGATCGCTGATGAACCCTGTTTTTCAAGTAGTGATAAGTGTTTCATTGATTAAACCCAACAGAGAGATAGGTTAAGGCAGATAATGAAGTTTTATTATGAGGAAACGTACTGAGAACTTCTTTAATGAACTTTTGGCTTCAAGGTCGGCGGAGTTGTTGTCGTTTCCAAAGTACTGAGCAGAGGAGATTGATTTCGCGTTAGTGAACTTCTTCCTCGCCTCATCTGTTTCTTGAATCTGGTAGATGATAGAGATGTTAAGTACAAAAAGAACCTGTTCATGATCTTAAATCAAGAGAAATGACATAATAAGAGGGAGAAGAATGAGCTTACTTGCACTTTTGAGGAAGTCCTGATAGGTTTCTTCTGAAACCCGCCTCCGTTCATCTCCAACTCCTCCTCGAAGAAGCCTGTTGATTTCGGTGGAGCTACGTGACTAACCACTTGAGGGCTCATGTATTCTTCTCTGTTTTGAACGTTGTCCACATAATCAAAGCGGGATGCAAAAGATGACCTGGCTGATTTAGCTGAAGCTGGGGAAGTCACTGACATAGCTACAGTTTCCTCTGGTTTTTGATCATAAAGAGTCTCGCTAGACTGCACATTTCCTTATGTAAGTAAGTTCCTCTAAACGAAATATTGAGGGATCATCTCATAAAGAAGAAAGAGCATATTAGCGAACCTTAGTAGTTAGCTTCCGGGCGCCAAGTCCTCCAGTTTTGCCAGTCCTCTTGGCACCAAGAGGTTTCTTAAGGCTGCGAGAAACTCTTGGTGAGACGGGAACAACTTCAGGCTTATCTTGCTGCTTTACAGTATGATCACTCTCTTTAGGAGATTCACTGGTTCTAATGCTGGAAAGCCCATTGGGCACATGTGTTGAATCAGGAGGCAAAACGAAATCGTCGTCGGGTTTGGTAATTTTAGCAACTTCTTTAGCAAGAATCTGTTTATACAACTCAGCAGGTCTGGAAGTATACTTAGACTCGGTTTTACCTCCTTGGCTCCATCCGTACTGCTTGAAAAAGACTTGTGCCCTGCAGTTTCCTCCATACACCATCATCTTCAGCTGCTCAGGGCTCCATGAGTCCAAATTTGTAGACCTAATAAAGAAACATGAACATCAAATCAACCGTCCCAACATTATTCTTATTAACATTCCTTCCACAGTCAAAAACCAAGTCTAGAAAAATTAAAAAAAAAAAGAAACATGAAGAAGCTATGTCCTTGTACAAATCCTTGTCCATATCATGATGATAGATTATTAAGTAAATGTTGCATTTCAAAACGAAGATGTATAAAACATAAAGCCATTCGAATCTCAAAGAAAGAAATAAATAAAATGAAAACCTGACGAAGCTGATGTGGACGCCAAGACTCCGATGAACAGCTGAGCAATCGATGCAGAGAAAGATCCCGTAAGTAACGGAAGCCCATGTTGGGTTCTTCGCATTGCAATCAAAACAAATCTGCATAACCCAAAAAAAAAACATTCAAAAACCAGCAAAATCCCCAAATCTGTCCAGATCCGATAGCCGAACTTGTAGATCTTGATGAGAACAATTACCTTATTCTCTGATTTAGCTTTGAGCTTCTTGAAAACAGAGATCTTATCATTCAGATTCTCGGACGCCATTGTAGGGAGGAAACAATATTTTCTCCAGAAATATGAAAAATTTCCGGAGATTTGAAAATTTTGGAATCGAAGAGAGATGAAAAAAGAAAAAAAAAAGAGAAAGAGATTAAAATTATTCGAAAACAAGGCAAGAAATCGAGGGGTTTATAAATGAGGTTGCTTCAGATCCAGCCGTAAGGTGAGGAGGTTGGCACGTCAATTTACCATTTTAACCCTTTCTAACTATTTCGCGCGTTTTGGTTTGTAACGGTAACGAGAGGTAGTTACGTTAAAATCCCATTTTTGCATTCTTAACCCCAACTACGACGAGAGGTTATTAACCCTTGTTGATTTTTTTATTTTAATCTGTAATTATTACCCTTACTTATATCGTTTGACGTCATTAACCTTTACATATTTTAAATGGATTGTTTCATTTAATTAAATAATTATAAAATTGAAGAATTTATAAAAGCAAGAAAATTATAGAAAAAAAAAAAAGGAGAAGAATTTTGCAAATTCATAAATTCGAAAAGCTACTTAACATTTCTGGTCTCCTGTCCGAAGGATTTACGACTTTGGTTACCGACAAAATATATTGACTTAAGAGCCAGGCCTATATATATCTACATATATTAGTTTTCTTAATGTTACAATATAACGCATATTCTCATGAAAACACATATTATTATATCTCAATTAATCAATCTCATAATTAGGAGCACTAAACGCATGAGTTAGTTAGGGAATTAACAACATAAATATATAAATACCCATAAAATTCTATGTACAAGAGACCAATAAAAACAAGATTGTATGGTTGAGACTAATGTACTCTATTGAAAATGCTTGAATTTTGTTGTATATGTACTAACTTAAATTTAGTACCATTTGATTTAGTCCATATATTTTGTATTGGGTTCAATTTCAGAAGAGTAACATTAAAGAAAGGTAACTATGGATTAATCTTGACAAATTAAGGTGGGAGAAGCTCAAAGAGTGGTGAATTGGTGATGATAATGATGACAATAGAGAGAAGGTGCAACCGTGTGCGTATGTCTGTCGCCACTCCTTGTCGGCTCTGTTCTCTATCTCCTTAACACTTGTTCACGTTTCCCTATCTCCCATCCCTTACAAGATTACAATTAAAAAAAAAAAACAAATTTGGACAAGGCTTTGGCTCACGTGTTTGGTAGGGCTTCCATGCACATGTTACCATGTTACTTCTTCCCGTTTTCTATTTACTAGTAAATAACTATTTGTTAAAGCCATCAACCTTTCTTCTTTCTCGATTATTGAGTTTTTGTACTTCGCAGTTCTAAAACATCTATCAAAGCATGTGTTTTTTTTTTTCTTTCTCTCTCAGTTATGTAAAAAGATTGATGATGGTAATGCAATTGTGTTGATGAACTTATTTTGATTAATGCCGTAAGGGCATCATTGGCAAGCTCTTAGGCTAAGATTTACCTAAGAAAAAAACATTTTGAATTCTTGATAATTTGATAAGCACATAGGTATAATGATCTAAACTTCTACCAATTTATCAAAGCATGCATATCCATGTTTTCATGTATAACATATCAAACATATTCATTATGAAAAGATATACAAATCAACGTTTACGTAAAGAAAAGTAAAAAAAAAACCTCACATACTAAAGAAAACTCAATATTTAGCCTCTGTACAAAGGAGATCGTTGCTGAAAAATCATCTTGGAGACTCTTGATTGTCTGAAAACCTTTATCGGACTTGGGAAGTACCAACCATTTCCTTTGCTAGTCACCGGCGCAGGAGAAAATAGCACTTCTCCGCCGTCGGATCTCGACTTCTTCATGACCGTGGCATCCTTCGTTTTCGTGTCTCCCTTGTTTCCTCCTCTCAACAATCTCCAGAGCCAACGTCCACGATCCTGTTTGACATCCGAACCAGTTTCCGAAACCGACTCCAGTTTAGCAGACCAGAAAGACGGAACCGCAATCGATGTCGATCTCCTAAACGCCGGTTCGCATTCGATCAGGTTGGCAACGCGGCCAACCGAACCGACGCCGGCGAACGGAACATCACCTTCTCCACCGGCGGAGGAAGAGACGGAGGCGCGTGGAGTGCACGAACATGGAAGAACGTGGGCACACTCAGGGCAGAGAGATGAGAGGCGTTCCTGGAGGCAGTAAGGACAAACGCCGCCAACGCAGACAAAACCGAATTCGTGAAGGTCGTGTCTTGAGCATTTCTTCCAAACGCTGCCTCCTCCTCCTCTTTCATCGAAGCACAAACGCACTTTTGTTTTCTCGCATTTTACTTCGCTCCCTCGCATTTTCTCTAGAATCTCTGTTGCTTGCTGTAAAGGAGAGAGAGAGAGAGATAGAGAGAGAGGGAGATAGAGAGAAAGGTTTCAACTTTTAATGTGGATTATATTATGTTTTATTTATCAGAGATTAAAGCCACTACTAAAGCCCCACTCTGATTAAGTCTTAACCATAACCCTTGGTTAGTGAAACTAACTTCAGCTTAACTCATTAGCGCCGGATTATATGCCTTGATTATCGATCCGTTGTGTTGCTAAATTACTGACTCCCTTATTAATATTACTTGTGGGGAAATAAATTTAGTTATTGTAGACAAAATTTGTAAGATCTATAGTAACCAACATTTTTCATGGTTTGTTACAACCAATTTTTTTGAACTAGTAAAAGACTATTCAAATATCTCTACTGCTTCCCGAAATAACCAGATATTTTTCCGCAGACGCTGATAATGAGAGTCAAGTTCGTCATAATACTAATATCGAGTACGGAGTATCATACAACTCAGTTACAACTTGCAACATAAATCAGTGAAACAAGTTTTATTGCCAGGGCATGAAACAGAGACGACGTTTTAAAAATACACACGTACATATGAATATATGATATAACACAAAGAGTCAAGCTTATACAAAACACATGAGCTAACAAAGATGGTTTTGATTTCTGGGATTTTAACGCAATAGAATTTGATTCCTGTGACTGCTTAAATCCGCATCAGCCAATAGAGCCATGTGAATAGAAACTGGTTCATTTCTCAGGTACGGCGTTCCATCTACAACAACATGGACTTAGAGGGAGGACCAAGAAGTGTATGTGACCAAAAATTTACCAGTATTTTGAATGGCCTGAGAGTGAAATATTTTTTTTTCTTCAGTAATGGTTCCAGAGCAAACGTCTGTTCATAGCTGGTGGAGCTAAGCCCGGTATGTCGCGGATGTCTTTGTTGTTTGGGTTCACAATCTATACAAAAGAGAAAAACGAAGTTACAAGTATGATACATGGGCAAAATACATGCGTTTGGAAGGAAATATAGTGCAGATGAATTCAGAAGAGAGATCAAATAAACCATCACAAAGGAGACAATTTATACATTCTATAATTGAATAATCAAAGATAGAAAAATTGTGGGTATTTGTGCATTTTCTAGGTTCTTCGATCAACATGGTTTCCAGAAAAGTCCAAAACCTTTTACCTCATAATATCCATGAAATAAATAATGATGAACAGAGAAATCTATTCAACTCAAACAAGTACCTGTATGTGTGTTTACATTTGAAGAAGAAAGGAGTTAAGAAGAAGTACCTTGACGATAATGATTGCTATGACACCAATGACGATAAGGAAAAGAAAAGCCATAATACATTTGTCAGTTGCAACCTGAGAGAGGAAGGGAAGAAAGTAAGTAAAAGGGACAAGAAGAAAGTGGAGATAACTAGGAAGGATATAAAGAAGAAATAAGAAGATTTCAAAGACTAACCTGCCTACCAATTTCCTTGACAAGCTTGGAGGCTTTCTTGAGTGAGAAATGAATAGAATCAAGCTCATTGACAACTCTACTCATCTGCTCGGTCTGAAAAATGAAAAGGTAAACTATTTTAATTCTCTGAATTACACACAATCTTAGGAAAAAAAAAAAATTTCAGGTAGAAGCAAGTCAGTTTGGTTACAAACAAGTGTGGGCTAACTACAAACCTGAGCCTTAAGAGCTGCAGAAGTATCTGTTCCCACATTTATAGTCTCTTGAACAATCTGATGTCAAAGCCACAGAAAATGCAGTGAGATTTTGCGTTTGTGAACATGGGAAAATGGACACAAGTTATCAGATGCAACATGAACATAAAACTGGAGTTTTGCGAGGCAATATATATATGTATATATATTCATATAATCTGAAAACAGACCTTTTTTCCCCTCTCAATGGCTTGATCTGTGTCATCCATCATTGAGTTTCCTTTATCCATAAGCTCTTGATTGGACATGTCTGAGAGTCATTAAGTATCCAGTAAATACTCTAGGTAGGTGTGTTCATAGATCTAAATAAAGTGCAATAATTATCTACATTGTTGGTTGGTAGCAAAATACGAGATTTAAAGGCTTACTTGAAGCTAATAAGACATTTTCTTCCATGTGTTCTTCTCCGGGTCCATCGAAAAGATCTACTCGCTTGTTATTGCTTGCTAAGTTAGATGAATATCTGTACAACCATCCTCATTAATACCAATCACCATTAACATAAAAACAAACATCAATGTACTTGTAGACATTATTATGAACATCACTAGAGCAATTAGCAAAGTATGACGCACTTCTTCTTAAGAGCAACATATGAGTTCAGTTCCTTGACCTGCATAAGAACACAACAACATCACCTGAGATTAGAAAACACTAAACAGACCTCACCAAACGTCATATAAAGAAGCAAGAGGATAAGAAGTGCATACCATAGATTGTCGTCTATCGTTGAGCATACGGTTAGTGTTGGCATCATTACCGCCTTCCAAGCTTTTAACTTCCCTATCGAAATCTTTAATAAGGCTGCAAAGTAAGAAGAAGAAGGTATCATCATCATCACCAACATCATCAGGATCAATCTAAAACAAGATTGAATAAGAGAAGAAGATGCGAAAAGGTAATGTACTTTACCTCTTACAGTCACGCATTTTGTCAGTGAGTTCTTCCAGCTGCCTACTTTGCCTATTAGCATCTTTGATCTTCTCCAGCTTCTGGAATCCATTTCTGGTGAAACCAAATCATATAGACAACAACATAAACACCAAAAATCTCAAATTGCCTTGATACAAAACAAAAAGATAGAGAGAGAATAAAATAATAATTCTCACGCCAAAGCACGGAAAATGTCATTGATTTGTCCTTCGAGCTCAGCCAGCTCTTCGCTAACCGCAGATATTGGATCCATCTCTAGAAAAATTTGAAATGCGATAATAATACAATGCCTCTTTGATCAGATCTACGCGAACGATTTGGTTAGCAAATGTCGTCGACCCAGGGAATCGACTCGGCGAGATTAGATCCGTATGGATCTGGAATTGGAATCACTTCCTCGTCGTGACCTCCAACAACAAACGAAAAAACAAAATCGAATCGCGATGGCAAAATCGTGACAATCAAACCCGTGGTTGGGTGTATTCCTCAGATCTACGGCACCAATGTGGATGTTCAGAATCGATATCGGAGGGACAAAGAAAATCAAAATCTCCGAGCACAATAAGCTCTCTCTCCCTTACACGCAGATTTTTTATATATCTTTTTCCTAATTTCTCTCGGACAATTTTTTTTTTGTTTTTTGTTCTTGGGGGATTTCTCTATTTTGTCGCCATTGATTAGATTTGGCTCGAAGGGACGGAAAATGAGAGCAGTTTTGAAAAACTGCGATTACCGTATAAAATTTCAGTGGGACCCGCCACGACGTCGTTCACAGTAGAGAAATCGTATAATCTGGTACGTCGGATTTGTCACCTCTCCAGATCTAACGGTCCTACTTTTACATTAGCTTGATTTGATAATTTACTTACAATATAGTATATACGAAATATTTGTTACTACATACTAGTATAGAACAAAGAAAAAATGAAATTAATTTATTAAAAGGAGAAAACAGAATCCAACAAAAGATTTTGTGAAACTTCATTATGTCATCAAGCTTGGCCCAAATCCGGCCGGATCCGTTGGGTTACATTACAAAAAAGGTCTCTCTCTATCAAAGGTTGCTTTGCTGTTACTGCACGCATTTCAGGTTCAGCCGCCGTTTCAAGCCCATCCACCACCGGTAACCATGGTACGATTTTTCATATTAATCTTGATTTTTTGTTTTTTGTTTTTACATATGTTCAATGTCTTGTATTCGAATCATCTTTTCGAGTTTTGAATATCAGCAAATTTTGCTAACAATACTGCTTAGGAAAGACGACTAGTAATCAATTTGGATTCCATGGAAACTACTTCCTTTTGTTCCATGCGTCTCCTCAAAATTGTTGTTATTTTGCTACTATGAGGATTGTTGATTTCTACTGCATTTGCTCAACTCAAATCCATGTCTCTTTTTCTTTTCTTGTTGTGTGTGGTTCCAGACCAAGAGGACAAAGAAGGCTGGAATTGTCGGCAAATATGGTCAGTGCCCATAACTCTCTTACCTTTCTTTGTCATACAAATAATTGCTTCATTGCATGATCTTTGCTTGCAGCCATTATTCAATTGTTTCCTGTGTTGGTTTGTTTCTGAATCTTTTGAACTTTTTTTTGTCTGTCCAGGGACCAGATATGGTGCCAGTCTTAGGAAGCAAATCAAGAAGATGGAAGTGAGTCAGCACAGCAAATACTTCTGCGAGTTCTGTGGCAAGTATGCTGTTAAGAGGAAGGCTGTTGGAATCTGGGGATGTAAGGACTGTGGCAAAGTTAAGGCTGGAGGTGCATACACTATGAATACCGCTAGTGCTGTTACTGTGAGGAGTACCATCAGGAGGCTGAGAGAACAAACTGAGAGTTAGACTACTAGACTCAAATACATTTTTCAAGACCAGTATTCAAGATTTTTTCCATCTTTTGCTATAGGATTTGATGATAGACCATAGTTATGATTCTGTATTGAAGTTAGGGATTTTGGCTACATGTTTGTCACTTGTCAGTTGCATTCCATGAAGCAGACCCAATGTTTTGGTTGATTTACAAAGATCACTTTTGGCTACACAATAACTGGCTTATTATCTACGCTTTAATACTAGCTATGCTCATGGAGGGGGAAAAAGACCCCATGAGATGTCAACATATGGTTCCAAGATCACTGACATTCCTGTGAAAGGTTTGTGCTTGGACAGCCTTCACAGCTGCTACTCTAGCCGCATTTGCTGCTCTGTTTGCAGCCATCACCACTCTCTTGATTCTCTCTTCCACTTTCACCACGTCATGTGCTTTCTCAGCTGCTTTCCTTGCTTGCTAATGAACCAATGCGAAAAAATAGACACAACAAGTTGGTCATTGAAGATTTTACTATGTAATTTATGAGAGTTTGCAGCATAAAGATAAAACCTACTAGTTTACTTACCTCAACGGTATCAACAACTTTAGAATGGCTGATGGTAAAAGATGAACCAGGGCGGATAGTCTGCTCGCTAGCACAACTCAAAATGCCGTCTTCCCAATGACCGGCCTGTGTCTCACCAGTTCTGAAAGTATACATACCGAGTCCTTGCCTTCTTCCCTCGTGCCAAGCTCCTTCGTACTTATGCCCATTCCCAAATTGATACACTCCAAAACCATGCATCTTGTCTGCAAAATACTCCCCAGCATATGAATCGCCATTTCTGCAATAACTCCAAGATAAATATAGCTTTAAGGCCATGATACAACTAAAGCACATTTGACCAGGCAGTGCATCATGCAATTGCTTAAGAGCACTGGTAATGCAGTAACAGAGAAGCCTGGAATTTGACGTTCCATGTTCGCTAGACTAGTTTAAAAGGTGAGATAAGCACGACAAGCAGGACACACAAGCCATTATTCATCAAATGGCCAAAAGCAATATTCAAAGCCTTTCACTGATTCAGAATTGATCCAAAGGTTAACACGGGTCACAATAAAAAGGAAAAACCTCTACACGACCCTTTAATGGAACTCAATGCCGGGAACACACTCAGACAAGTACAGGGACCTAATAAACTACCATAAGTCAGTACACAACTTATGTCTGTAAAACTAGATCTTGAAAACCAGATGCGTCATTAAGATTCAGATTCTCACTTAACTCTACGTCAACAGCGTGTGTGATTTAGGAGTTAGATCACCATCACAGGTCAAAGCACAACAATATTCCAGAAACTCAAATGACAGACCAGAGTAAAAAGGCAATGAAGAGCAAAAAAAGAATAATACTGACCTGAAATGGTAACTACCAAGACCATGTTTGACCCCCCATTTAAACTCGCCATCGTATCTGCTTCCATCCTCAGAGGTATATACACCACACCCATGGCACTGCCCATTAGACCACTCACCAGCATATACATCTCCTGTATAAAACGTATAAACTCCAATTCCATGTCTTAGCCCTAACCTATATTGACCTCGATACCTACTTCCTTTAGCCCATGTTTCAACTCCATAGCCATCATATTTTCCATCAATCCACTCTCCTTCATATTTGCCTTTCATGGAATAGTGATAAACTCCACTTCCTGAACATTTCCCTCTATGAAACTCTCCTTCATACACATCATTGCTGCCAAACTTCTGAACCCAAGATCCTGAATTGGTCTTGTTCTCCGCAACTGGCTTCGACCCAATAGACCAAACAACTTGGTTTGTGCTCTGCTGAGAGGAAGAGAATCTGGCAGGGATAAAGGTCAGCAAGCGAGCGACAAAAAGACGAATTGATGGTAAGTGAGGAAGAGCGAATTTGAGAGAGATCGAGAGGATGAAAGAGAAAGCGATAATCGCAAAGATGAGACGAAGAAAGATACGAAGGTTGATTACAAGGAAGAAGATGTATAAAGGAGGAACGGCGAGAAGAAGCAAGAAACGAAGATGAAAACAAATCAAACGCGCTCGAAGGATATGGCGTAGGAGCTTCCTCAAGAACCGATGAATCACGGGACGATACGAAGAAATAAAAGACAAAAGGTTTGACGGGGAAAATGAAGAAACCGATCCCAATCGTGGTCTTGTGCGTCTTCTTCGGAAATGATCAACCCCGGCGGCGATGTTAGACGGTTGAGTCACCACAGACCTTTTGTGCGGGGTCGAGATTGGGATATCAACCGTGAGATGATGATGACTCTGATCATGCGGATGGTTATATACAGTGAAGCCAGCGCCTGTATCAATGGCGGTTCGATATACGGACTTATCTGGGCTCTGATTGTGGATAGGGTTTGGATCGGAATCTTCTTCCCCGATGAATCGTCGTTCTGGTACTGATGATTTCTTCAGATGCATTTACATAAGAGAGTTTGAAACTTGTAAGAGGATTGAGAAGAAATGGTCTGGAATTGAGGGTTCTTGAAAAGTTAGGGTTTTTCCAAATCAAAGTCTCTGGTTATTTTTCTTCTGTTTGTTCCTTAAACTGCTTCAAGTTATTCACAAAGAGGAGGAAGAAGAAGAAGAAGAAAGCTCAATTTTGAACTTTTGAAAAACTAAGGTAGAGACCTCCGTGAGAAAACAATAAACACCTCTGAGTTTAACTTATTTACCAACATGCCATCCATTTGCCATTTATTGACCAGATCCTTAATTTTATTAAGAGTTTATTCTCTAATAAGATTCCAATAAGTTTATTCGCTTTGAATTGTTGAATCTAATTAATTGTATAAACTTCAGGTGATTTAAATTTGATGGTGTCTTATTATTAAATTTAGTGTTTATTTTTGCTCTATTTAGTTTATTTGGGTGGTTTGGTTGTTAATTAACAACAACCAATTATTAGTTTAGCAAGTTATAATTAAAATTTGCTAGCATGCTTCCAAACATACAAAATTCAGTGAACCCATTTGGAATTTTGTAAAACAATGTCATCAACATAAAACACCCTTCAATTTTTTTAATAAGTGGTTTGTCATCAACACAAAACACCCTTCAGTTTTTTAATTTATTAATAAGTGGTTTGAGATATATAGCAAGACTAGTTTCAGAAAAAGACAAGTTTAAGAAGGTCATAAAAGCAACACCCAATAATTTCTTTGACGATTGTTAAACTTTTAAGCTAGTTTCAAAGACTCTTTAGACCCTCTTGACTGTAAATTTCAAAATCTTTATCATAATTTGAGGCCAACCCAAAATGTTTGTATCATAAGTCATGATGGGACCAAAACATGTAAATTACTGATATTTATTAGTATCCCATGTAAAACTAGTAAAATTAGTATAAAAAAATACATTTACATGGCTGATATAATGATAAGCATGGTCATAGTCATGGACTCATTCATGGTCATAGAAAATTAGAGACTACCAAAAGGCCAACCAGCCCAATCCCTGAGAATCTCAATGAATGGATAAAGTTATACCTTTTCACTTTTTTTTTGTTATCCAAAGATTTCATGGCTACCCATACAATACACATCATGATCTCTATCTATCTATGCACACAATTGTTATCTCTATCCTAATGCAGTACAGTAATCTTATGGATCTCAAAACCAGTTTGCACTTTAAAAGCTAAAAAACAATGTGGAATTTAATAGTTTTGGAATCAGCAATAAAAGTATATGTAATAGTGGATCCCATAGGCTATAATTTAAGTAATAGTAATAATATTGTCCACCTTTTTCCAATTTCAAATCTGAGATGAGATTGGAACAAACAAACAAGAGAGCTAGCTACTTCTTTGGTGCCTAGCGATCACTACAAACATCACCATTCCTTTTTTAAAATTTTCTCTGTCAAAATGATCAAGATTCAATCATCATCACCATGAGCGAACAATTTGAATTCGGCTCGGACAGATTGTAAGGTCATGTATTTCCTAGGCTTCTGTGTTTTCAGGTGATTTAGTTAAGTAGCAACTCTTGTAGACGGAAGGAATACACATACATACACACAGACACAAAACAAGAGTTGCAAATACATAACAATGCAAGAGTATGAAGAATAAGTAATGAAAGACTTGGCTTATGGTAAGAGTCTGGGAATTACTGAAGAATGAAACAATGCAGCTAAACATCACTAACACCAAATATGTACTGTAATTTTGGCTCAAGCTGTCCACTAATTTGCTTATTCAGAACTGGAGATCAAACGGAAAATGAAGAGAATACAAGTGGTACCAACAGATTATTAGTAGAGTCTACCAGAACACTCAGCCGAGCCACAATAGCAAAATTTCTTCTTGATATTACCATTGGAGTCGCGTACCTGATCGATCTTATAGTTGTAATCGTACGTGAGTTCCTCAAGCGGACGTATATTTTCCTGTGCAAAGAACATCACGTGAGGAATTCTGGTTTCATCATGGTCGTACAATACGTCCTGAGCGTACATATTCGGCGAGCAGCTATGGTTTATAAATCTCCCTATGTTCCCTTCCCGTGCTGCGTCTATGGTGAACGGATCCTCTTCCTTCCCGAGGTTAAAGAGATACTCATCTTTCCCTGTTAGTATTTCAGCTTGTTTATCCTCTAAAAGCTCTCCTGCGTACTCACAGATGAAGCTTCCCACTGGAACAGATTCAAGCGATCTGACTCCCCATCCCCTTGACTCTGTTTTGAAGAGCTCCAGCTGTATCTTGATCCCGTGCTGTGAGACTCGCATGTAGCAAGAAGGCGGGCATTTGCAGTGTGGTCCACACTCATAAACCAGGGGCTTTACTTCTAAAATGGCTCCATCATAATTGTACGGTATCTTTCCGTCGTTTTTCGCTACGCAGGAACAATTTTTTGATTCCGAGCAGCGTTTTGTGCAACCGCAGCTCTTTGGAGGAATTGGCCGGCACCAATACGGATATATCATTTTAACCGTGTAGATAAACGGAGGGGGTTTCTCGTCGTCTAAATTGTTCACAGCGCGTATGGGTAATGCCTCTTTCCCTTCTGAGATGTCAACATTGCAAACATCTTCCCGTAACTCGGATTTCTTTGAGTTCTCAACCACTTTCCAGGAACGCTCGGGTTGTCCAGGAATACGTCGCAGTTTGAACTTGAAGACGAGCTTACCGTGAGACCCGGTTTCTTCCCAATATTCTTCCACCAGATACAATCCATCGTAAACATAATTCTTTACAGCAGCTGATGATTCTAATGTCGTATTTTTGTAGCCTCTTATGACCCGCACAGGGTTCTTTTTGTGTATACTGTTTTTCAACGCGAGGTTTCCTCTTACAAGCTGTTGGTCTTTGGGTTCAATATTTTTCTTTCCTTTCCCAACATTTCCGCCTTGACCTGTATAGATCAAGACATCCGAGTTATCAAGCACGTCATCATAATTTCCAGATGATACGATACTCAAGGCAACTAGTTCTCCGCTATCGTCTTTCATATAATCGATACCGCCTTGACTTGGTCTATGTATACCAAGAGAGTTCAGCTCCATTCTATATTGAAATCCATGGCCAACCTCTACACCAGGCACAGTTCCAATAATATGAGTACCTCTTCTACCTGCAGCCTCAATTGGTTTTGGAACTGTAACCTTCGACTTCTCTTTCTCTAGTTCCGATGGCTCCAAAACCTCTGGTGATATGATTTCATCAGGAGATTGACTTAAATGGTCTCCCGAATCTGAATTCCTCAGAACAAAATGTTTCTCTTCCACCGAAATAGGAACTTCAAAGGTCTTTCCACTCTTTGGAAATATGCTCCCCATATTTGGAGGAAAGTCTCTCACTACAGAAATCGTTCTTCCGCGAAGCTGTTTTCTTGTAGTGATGCTTTGCCTGTAAACAGACCCCACCACCGCATCTTCTTGCAAGCTAATGCTTGGAGGCTGGACCTCCACCGTATAAAGCTCACTTGTGTTCCCCAGCAGATTCTTATCTTTCAGTTGGGTCTGCAAGTTAACTCGATGAGATTCAGCGCTCTCGGTTACCCCAACGTCGATGTCCTTGCAAAAATGTACATCAATAGATATCAAGCGATCCTGCGCGACCACGTTTTCTCGAGGAATCAACACAACCTCAGCTTCAGAAGAAAGAACACAGTCATCAGAAACATTCCTGTTCTCGCAAGTCTCAATTAGGACCTCCTTCTGAATACTTCTCGATCTGAGTCGCTTGGAAACCGATCCACAATCAGGAGATAACTCACTTTCTGCTGCAACCTTAAACCGCTTGGACTTCCTCCTAACCACAGGATCAGTGTAGCTACCATTACCTGAAACTGATGTTGCTACTTCATCCTTAGAAAAATCACTACCACCGCGCAACGAACTAAGTACTGATGACTCTGAATGTACCATGTTATCTCCAATTCCTACTCATGTAATAGAAGAATGTGAACTAAAAACACCATCCTAGTAATTACAACAAGCATATATATATATATATATATATATATATATATATATATAGAATAAAAAAGATTGCAACAATTTAATTTATCAATGTATATGGCAATGCATGTTATATGATTGATCTAAGTTGATCATCATAATTAAAACACTAAAAGAACACATGCAGATCTTCAAAACCCGAAAGCAGAGAAATCTCCCGAGACTTCACACAGACAATACGAACCAATTCAAAAACTTAACCCCAAATCTCGAAATTATCAACTTTTGCCTCACTACATAGTCCACTTCAACAGAAACACAGTGAAACGAGAGATATGGAAGCGATTTTAAAAGATCAAATCTTGTTTCTCAGAGCATTACCAAAAAAGAACAAAATCAGAACAAGGGTCAAGAGATATTATTACCAGGCGAAATCAAATTGGCGGAGATCGATTGGCCGGAGCGGGAGATTTGAGTCGCCTACTCAAATTGGGTAATTTGGCATTTGCTGCAAAACAAATTAAAATCATTTTGTTAATTTGTCTTTCGGTTTTTTTTTGTCAAAATTGGGTAAATTTTTCAAATACCTCACTAAGATAACTCTTCTTATCGCAGCATGCATCTCATGCTCTCTAACCTCTCTCTCTCTCTCTTGTGGTTGTTGTTAAACTGCTCTCTCTAACCTATTCTAATTCTAATTATCAGCAATAAAACTGATTTAGGGTTTTTAGTAGATCTCTAGTATGATTTTTTATTTTTTGTGAAATATAATATTTAAGAATACCATAAACTTTTGATATTTTTAGTAATATTTTTGGGATATTCAACCTTTGAGAATATTCTAAAGATCTTCATATTCCTTATTTTTAGAATTTTTTTTTTAAAATAATCATATCTTTTTTTTTGTAAATAAATAATCATATCTATAATAAGAAAAATAAAAGAAAAATAATGTTAGTCATAACTACATATATTGGTCTTATCAATAAGAGTGTTATTTTTCTTAATTTTTTTAATGATAAATAGCAATAACAATTTTCTTTAGCTACATATAGCAATGTACATTTTAAAACTGTTTGGTATTTGATGAACTTAACAATGACCTAGATTTTTTTTGGGTTAAAGAGAGGAGACCAATGTCTCCCTTATTATTAAACTAAAAAACTACAACCCAACATGTCGAGGGATCGTAATCCCCAAAATATCATCGTCCAAAAGAGAAACCATACAATTAGGACAAGAATCCAATAAAAGTAAGCTTAAAGGGTGAAAAAAGCATCAATTGCCAACCTGTCCGCTAGAAATAGACAGTTAGCCTCCCGATACACATGAGATAGAACTTAACAATGACCTAGATTATACTAAGATAGATATTGTTAAAGATAGCATATGAATACAATGTTTATGTGAATATACAATACTGTAATATGCAATTTGCCTGATTTAAAGTTTCAAGGGATAATGTTTTATTGACTTTTTTTGATGAGAAGTTCCTAAATCATATAGGTGTAAAATAATCTACTAACAAATATTGGAAAGATAATATTTGGGAATATTTAAGAGTTTTTTTTAGGTATATTTATATTTTAGTTCCATGTTATCTATGAAAAAAAATCATTATTAACCAAATTCAACTAACTGTAATATAAAATAGTAACACAGTATTTTTTGTTTCGCGATTAAAAGAAACTCAAGTTTCAAAAATTGGGTTGCAACCAACTTTAAATCTAAGTTAGACATAGAAGTTTCAAATTCTACAAAACCAAAAACAATTTTTAAAAAAATTACTCTACTCAAACAATAAACGTGATTTTAAATGCTATTAAAGAAATTAATTAAATTTGGTTGAGCCATTGAAGTGTAAGGGAATTTCTATAGACAACAAAAACTTTAAAGTACAAGTCATGGAATTATATCAGCCATTATCGAACAGACTGTTGATTGTAGAAGGCTCTAGAAAAATATAATGTCAAATCAATATGAAACTTGAAATATAGTAACAAACACTTTCATGTGGAGGGATACTATCTAACGCTAGTCAGTCTAATGTGGTATAACACAATGTATTCTCTAGAATTTTCGAATAATGTCTTGAGTCTCACACTTACTAAACCATAGTTTGAGATTAAAGGTTAGTCTTCCCATCTTATATTAACATTGATCCTAAATTGTTGTGCTTGTGGAACTATAAAGTTAAGAAGAAACACAATCTAAGTATCAACTAAATCAAGTATGCATGCAATAGAATCACCTAGCCTTTTGGCTTACCAAACGAGCATATGATTTATTTTTTCCGAGTGTGACTACGAGCACTCAAATATTTGATTTGATGCCTTTTTCATCCTATCTTTTTTATATAGTACTGCTGCTATTTTCTATCGTTTGTATCAATTTAGCAATTTATCATTTACCTAAACAAAATCTTTATTCTTGTCCTTTCCCATTCATTTTCTTTAATAATCTCAAAAGTTCAAAAGCGAGAATAATAATAATAAATAACAGCAAAAAGAACTTATAAAGTAGAAGAATAACAATTATAAAATGAATAATTTCCCTGACAATATAATAAAACATTTTTTTTTTAAACAAAGAGATTTGATTGGTTACACATTATAATAAACAGATTTATTCCAGCGTCGACAAAAACACACACAAAAAAAGAAAAAAAAAATGAAAAGAGGAAGATAATTCTGGGAGTACTGTAGACACAACCACCATCAACAGTAACTTCATTTGAGATAATTATGCAGCTGTTGCTCTCTCTTCGTCTTCTTCATCCCATTTTTCTCTGCAATCTTCTCTTTCTCTCTCCCTAAATGCAGCAGCTACCTCTCTTTCCTTTCTCCATTTATTAGCTCCCATTTCTCTATGAACTTCTCTTGGCTTCCCCTGTCGGTGAGTTTCGCGCCTTCCAGAATCTTCGCTGGATCGAGTTTTATGTCAAATTTGAATTCTTTAAGGTTCTCATATGATGTTTGATTCTGGGTTTGTTTAGGTTTTCTTCTTCCTATAGGGACCCTTTTGCGCGTTTGCGTGTTATGTTCTTTTCGGATTGTAATTTGAAAATTTCAAGGCAATTCTACATGTTTCTCGACTTCTAGGGTTCATAGACGCAATTTTGGGTGATTGTATCTTCATTAGTTTGTTCTATTGCTTGTAATCTGCATAAAGATGTCATTTTAAAGTTTCAAGTGTTGTAATTTAAGAAGCTGAACTGAACTCTGTTGTATCTTTTGTTTTGCGTTTTTGTGACAGAGCTGAAAAGATTAGGTGGTGTTCTCTTCAATAGAAGTCAGAATTGTTTAAAAAGGAGATGACTTTGGGAGGTTGGAGTCAGAGATTTATCCAAGCAACTTCTTCTGAATCTGAGGATTCTGCTTTGGATTTGGAGAGGAATCATCACTGCAATCACTTGAGTCTTCCACCATCTTCAAGTCCATCTCCTCTTCAGCCATTCACACTCAACATCCAGCACGCTGAGAGCAATGCCCCTTACTTCTCCTGGCCTACTCTCAGCCGGCTTAACGATGCTGTAGAAGACCGAGCTAACTACTTTGGAAATCTCCAGAAAGGGGTTTTACCAGAAGTTGTTGGGAGATTGCCATCAGGACAACAAGCTACCACCTTGCTTGAGCTCATGACCATCAGAGCGTTTCATAGTAAAATCCTGCGCCGCTTCAGCCTTGGTACTGCAGTTGGGTTTCGGATCAGCCGTGGTGTCCTAACGAATATTCCAGCAATACTTGTCTTTGTTGCTAGGAAAGTCCATAGGCAATGGCTAAGTCCAATGCAGTGCCTTCCTTCCGCCCTCGAGGTTGGGCTTTGTTGTATTCTATTCCGTTCTACACACAGCCTTTCAGAAATTTTATCGGATCATATATGATGTGATGTAATAATTGATTCCGTAATAGGGTCCTGGAGGGGTATGGTGCGATGTAGATGTTGTGGAATTCCAGTATTATGGTGCTCCTGCTGCAACACCTAAAGAACAGGTTTATAATGAACTTGTAGATGGCTTGAGAGGAAGTGATCCCTGCATTGGCTCGGGTTCTCAGGTACATCATTTGTTATTCTCCATCTTCTACGAACTGTAACTGTAAAGTCTCAGTTTCTGTTTCATGTTGTGTAGGTTGCCAGCCAAGAAACGTATGGAACCTTGGGAGCTATAGTGAAAAGCAGAACAGGTAACCATCAGGTTGGTTTCCTTACCAATCGGCATGTCGCAGTTGATTTGGATTATCCAAGCCAGAAAATGTTTCATCCTTTACCTCCAAGCCTTGGACCGGGTGTCTACCTCGGTGCAGTTGAGAGAGCAACATCGTTTATCACAGATGATCAGTGGTTTGGCATATTTGCTGGCACAAATCCAGGTACTCCAATTATAATTTCATGGCAAATCTCTGCATCGTTCTGCTCAGGAACCAGCATATCTAGGGACACTCTCCTTTCATACTGACTATACAGGTCATCTTACATATCTATCCCAATGCAGAAACATTTGTGAGAGCGGATGGTGCCTTTATTCCTTTTGCAGAAGATTTCAACACGAGCAATGTAACTACGGTGATAAAAGGCATTGGTGAGATAGGGAATGTGCATGTTATAGACTTGCAATCCCCAATTGATAGCCTTATTGGAAAACAAGTTGTCAAAGTTGGAAGAAGCTCTGGATATACCACCGGAACCATAATGGCTTATGCTTTGGAATACAATGACGAGAAAGGGATTTGTTTCCTCACCGATTTTCTGGTCATAGGGGAAAACCAGCAAACTTTTGACCTCGAAGGTGACAGTGGAAGCCTTATACTCTTAACGGGTCCAAACGGTCAGAAGCCAAGACCAGTTGGGATCATTTGGGGTGGGACAGCCAACCGAGGAAGGCTTAAACTAATAGCCGGTAAAGAACCCGAGAATTGGACAAGCGGAGTGGATCTTGGTCGCCTTTTGGATCTGTTGGAGCTTGATCTCATCACATCGAACCATGAACTTGAAGGTTTGGAAACTCTTTTTCCTAACTTTAATTATCAGGATGGTTGCCAAGTTTTCATGCCTTGTTCTTTTGGGTTTTGTACACTTTGCAGCAGCAGCTCGAGAACAGAGGAACACTTCGGTTACAGCCATTGATTCAACTGTTAGCCAGTCATCCCCGCCCGACCTTGTTCCATCTGGAGACAAACAAGATGAGAGCTTTGAGCCATTTATACCGCCAGAGTTTCATATAGAAGAAGCTATTAAACCAGCTCCTGAAATAGAGGAACTTCTGTTTATTGCTCCTATACCAGTTAACGAGTCTACTTCTGCTATCAAAGGGCAAGAGAAACCCAAATTAGATGATCTCGTCGCTTTAAAGAATAGTTCCGAAGAAGAGGTTAACGTATCTTTGCATCTAGGTGAGCCCAAACTAAAGAAACCAAAGTTTTCTTAGCCAAAGCCGGAAACTGATCCCCTATACCAGTTACCGGTTTAGTTTGGTTTGAGTAAATCCCCAAAATTTTATGTCGTAATTGTGCATAGTATTATCATTATTCTTTGCGGACGAAAGACGTACCGGGACCAAGTTATGTAGCAAAATTGTATAAGCTTAAATATTTTATGAAATTTAAAGAAATCATTAAACCGTGTAATGATTCAGAATTCTTACTTTTAATTTCCGGTATGGTCGATCAGAAAACCGTAAGAGAGAGGTTAAAACTTGATGGCCAAAGGAGTGAGAATCCATCCACATGGAAGGAAAGTTTTGTCTTTTCTGATAAGTGTGACAGGAGAAAGATACAAAGCACTTGGGGTCTACCTCCACCTCCATTTTTTTAGAACAATGCATACTGAAGAAAGCTTCTAGTTTTATAAACCCTTAACTGAAGAAACACTGCGACGACTTCCCATTGCCACCAACTAAAAAGTGACACTACCAATGAGTGCAATTATTGAAATTACTAGTAGATGATAAAAATTAGTCGAGAGATTAGATTTGTAAGAAAACTGTATTAATATGCTTTACTCTGTTTTATAGGGGTGTTAACATGAAATGAAAAGCTTTTCACTTTAGGATCTTATAAAAATTGTTTATGCAATCATGGTATTACTAACTTTTCATTTGCTTTCAGTGACGAATATATTTTGACAAAGAAATCATTATAAGGGGTAAAACAAACTTTTTGGTCAAGTGGCCTCTAATAGTGCCACCAATCAAGCTAAAAAAGTTGTACTTAACCGACATCTTCTCTGAAAACACATAATTACATGTATATATCAAAACTACCTTATGACATTTCTGATCTTCTCTCTTCTACACTTTTACAATTTATATACATTTCTTTATGTGTTTCTTAGTTATTTTGATGCAAATTTTATGGTTACTTGAATATTCCTTTCACAGTTTTCATTTGGTTGAAATTTTGTATTGGTCGGCAGTTAAAACTTAAAGTAATAACTCCACTCCCTAGTATAGTCTATAATAACATTTCCAACGTTCCCACTTTAGCAAAATCATAGAACCAACGACATGATCTCTCTCATCTTCTTCTCCTTCTTCCTCTCAGTCTCTCTCTCATCTAATGGACAGTTCTTCGACGATGGCAAGAACTACGAAGGCTCCTCCGATCTCGTCGACCTTCAATACCACTTGGGTCCGGTCATATCCTCGCCGACGACGAGTCTTTACATCATTTGGTACGGCCGATGGAACCCAACTCACCAATCTACAATCCGAGACTTCCTCTACTCCGTCTCTTCACCGGCACCGGATCAGTACCCGTCAGTCTCCAACTGGTGGAAGACAGTGAGGCTATACAGAGACCAGACAGGTTCCAACATCACCGACACTCTTGTCTTGTCCGGAGAGTTCCACGACTCTACGTACTCTCATGGATCTCACCTCACACGCTTCTCTGTTCAGTCTGTGATCAGGACTGCCGTTACTTCCAAGTTACCATTAAACGCTGTCAACGGCCTCTACTTAGTCTTGACCTCAGATGATGTAGAGATGCAAGACTTCTGCAGGGCCATCTGCGGGTTTCATTACTTCACTTTCGCAAGCATCGTTGGTGCAACTGTACCGTACGCTTGGGTGGGGAACAGTGCGAGACAGTGTCCAGAAATGTGTGCGTACCCGTTTGCGCAGCCTAAGCCATTTCCAGGAAGCGGGTTTGTGGCCAGAGAGAAGATGAAACCGCCAAACGGAGAGGTGGGAATCGACGGGATGATCAGTGTGATAGCCCATGAGCTGGCAGAAGTGTCGAGCAACCCGATGTTGAACGGATGGTACGGAGGAGATGATGCCACGGCGCCAACAGAGATAGCGGATTTGTGTTTGGGAGTGTATGGGTCTGGAGGAGGAGGAGGGTATATGGGAAGTGTGTATAAGGATAGGTGGAGGAATGTGTATAATGTGAAAGGAGTTAAAGGAAGAAAGTATCTGATTCAGTGGGTGTGGGATCTTACTAGGAATAGATGCTTTGGACCAAACGCTATGAATTAGAGACAATAATGTCAGTTATCTCTTTCACAAATGTCCTCAGTTTTAAAGCTTGCGGGAACCTGTATATGGTTTATCTTCGCTGTTGGATTTAAGATATTGCAAAATCTAGGTATTTTAGCTTTCAAGATTCACTAGAAAGAAAAAGTTTCTGAACCAAACACATGCTTTGACACCAGCACAAAACTTCACAAGTACCAAAAAATGGTTGTTATGCCAAAGCATGCAAAAGCATTGATTCTATATGCTAGTACCAGATATAATATGGTCAGCATGATTAAGAAGACAAACTAAATGATACAACAGCTAGGGAACAACCTGCACCTTCTATTGTAGAAGTACATCTAGGAAGAGGCCTTGTTCTGTCCTTTAGTACTTCCAACTCTATTTGAGTGTTTATAGATCATCACGTCCAAGGAAGTCATGGAAGGGGGACTTCAGTAGCTGACTGATAGGCCAATACATTGTCAATAGGATTAACATCCTTTCCTCTATCCTTTTCTGAGTCATCTTCATCACATCCAACGAAATCATGGACGGGGACTTCAACAGCAGACTGTGAGGCCAAGGTATTTTCAATAGGATCCTCATTTTTGCCTCTACTGCTTATTGAGTTATCTTCATTATGGACGGGGACTTCAGTAGCTGACTGTGAGGCCAAGAATTTTAGCATAGTATCAACATTGTTATCTCTATCTTTTTCCGAAGCTGAGACAATTCTCATAGGATTAACTTTGTTTCCTCTATCCTTTCCCAAGTCATCTTCAATGAGTTTTGGCCTCATCAGCTTCCTTTTCTTGTTCTGAGAAGCTGGAGTTTCGGGGTTCTCTTTACACCCTTGAGTTGGCTCACCAGGGCTCTTTTGAGCTTCGCTACGGCGCTTAAAATTAATGATCGGTAGTTTTGGAACATTATGTTCGATACTTCCTTCACAATCGAACAAATCATCTGGAGTAGTCTCGGTAAAATGACGCATCATATCATTGTCAAGTACCTCTGCTGTCTGAATCTTTTCCTTTTTCTTCTTCGGTTTTCCAGAATCCTCAGAGGTACCCATATTTAATCTTTTTTGCTCCATCCAATGTTTGTGACAGTCGTTTAAATATGCCATGACCTCATCGACTGATTCAGTGTCTGGAGAAATATTGTCTTTAGCATCACGTCCTTTTGAAGGCACACCCAGCCTTTTGAAGACACTCTCTCTGGTTCTATTTCTTCCAAGTTCAGCAGGATTAACACGCTCTTCTATTTGAGTTACCCTATTGTTAGAGTCAAAAGCATTACCGCCAAATTCTTCATGCCGTTGATAAGCTTGGCCTTTGATATTAGTTCTGTCATACAAATCAGAACCATCCCTCGTTGTTGAAGGATATGCAAAAGAAGGGTATATACTGGAACTCCGTACAGCCATATTGTTTGTATAAGAAACATGACCTCCAAATTCTTCTTGGTGTTGATATGCTTGAATTTCATTGTTGAGTCTGTCCTTAGGAGACACATCCCTTGACGATGAAGGGTCAGCAAATGAAGGGAAGATGCTGTGGTCGGGGTACGGTAGACTCTCAACCTTCTTCATGTTCTCAGTAGTCCCTGCAGAAGTTGAGAGACCAGGAAACTGGTTCTGACGCAAATGACCATTTCTAAATCCAGATTCAAATTCAGCACGCACAGCTCCAGACATGCCTAGTTTAGTTTGGTATTCACGATGTTCAATAGGCATTGGAATATAACCCAAACTACTAGTGTTCATGCTGGTACCATTACGTTCATCAGGAAGTGGTTGGACTGTTTCAAAGGTCAAAGCGTCATTGACATAGCCACCAACAGGTATATATTCTTCTACCAAACCATAATTTGAGTTGGCTGAAAAGGAAGCTGAGCCGTTTAAATCAACATTAGGTGAACGAAGATTATGCTTAGAGCTTGCCATTGTTGCATCTTCCATGATCCCGGGCTCACTCGGGTCATAGTACAGTGTGTTTGTTCCATATCGTATGTCTAGCGGTATTCTTTGAGGAAGAACAGCTGGATCTTCTTTGTCGTTAGACCACAGGCGTTCCTGTGCGATACCATCTTTTTCATTGTACTCGTTTTCTACCCAGCCACTTGCAGTGTGTCTCAGGTTCTTCGGGACCCTTCGATCATTAACAAGAGAATTATTAGTTAAAGCATTTTTGCCAAAGCTATAGTTCAGGTTAACGCCAGATGTTTCTCCAGAATACTCATTCCTTTTAGCTGGATCAAACTCTAGGCCAATATCAGATTCATCCCCAAAACCATAATTTTCTGTAGGCCTACGACCACGGGCATCTCCTGCTGAAGTAACTCTGTATGGAAACTCAAGGTCAACATCTTCATCCGTTTCTCCTGCATTACGATTCCCAAAGCCTCGACCACCAACCCTATTTCTCAGACTACTTTCAACAACTGCAGTTTTTCTCAGCCATGATCCATCTTCCTTCTTCAAGCTAAACAACTTCAACAGCCTCTGAACCTATACATAAAGTTTCCAAACAGAGTGCCAGAACACATAAGAAAGTAAATCAACTGGGATGAAATAGACCAAACAAGGATAATTCGAGATTACAACCATAATAAAGCAAAATATGCTGTTTTTACAGGAGAAAATGAAGCACACACCTGAGCCTTGGAGAGTCCAAAATTGAACTTTGTTGCGGTAAAGTAGTTTTCAAGAATAGCATGACGAAACTCGCTTTCAGGAAGCGGCCTACAACGCCACTTCTCAGTAAACTTAACCTAAGGAAAAGGGATCACAGCAAAAATATAATGTTAGACACAAACTTAGTAAGAAAACAAAAACTCATGGAGGAAAAGTAAGAAAGGTGAATTCAAGTACCTGAGCAGGAAACTGTTTCCCAGAAGAGTGGAATGCGTTAGGCTCAATGTTTATATCACCATCAGAGGAAGCCTGAAATACACCATGAAGCTCTCTACTCTCGAATTCAAACAAAAACAGTATCATTCCGGCTTTGACATGTTTAACAAAACCGGCTTGCCTCATTGGCAAACCGAAAAGCTCTCGCCTAAGACACTCCTTTCTTGTAAAGTCATTGGACATGAAAATAGCACCAAATTCAGGAAACTCTCCAGAAGCACCACCATAGGATTCCTCCATACCCTTCATCCTCCGATACTTTGACATGCTGTTACAGAAAACTAAGATAACAACAGAACTAACTATCCTTCATATGTTGAATAGAGAAGATACATAAACATCAAGAGACTGATTAGTTAGCCAAAACAGTAGTTAGCAGACTGATTAAAGAACAAAAAAGAAAAACAAGACATCAAAAAACAAAGCAGTTGACTGAAGAATAAGGAAATTGCAGCATTATAAAGGTGATGACACTTCAAAGAAGACAAGTAAAACAAACAGTAAAACCGCAGAATCCAAAAAATTAGAAACAGTCGTACTTAGAACAGCAACAAGTCAACAAGTAAGCAAGCAAGAAGAAGAAAGTGACGCAATTGGAACATTCACACATCATCAAAACGCTGACGTAACTCTCACAAAGCATAATAAATAACCAAAAATTCAAAACGATGAAGCCATAGACATATTCAGAAGAGGATTTTTATAAATCTAGAAAATCAGTATCTGAATTAAGAAAATCACGGCTTTGGAGTTGCTTGGTTTGTTAAAACCGACTCGTACCAAACAAACACAACATGCAAACACCAAAAAAGAAACAGGAGAACGATCAAAGGAGAATTATGAATTGAAATAAAGAAGGAAAATCAAAGGAGAACGATCGGGAACAATGTAGAAAGAGAGAATCGAGAGGATTTAGGGTTTTAAACTTGTCAGTATTACCGGAAAACGAAACGGCGAAGGAGAAGGCGAAGGAGAAGATGAAGAGATATTGTTTTGTTGTATGGTTTGGGAGGAAAAGCTATAAACCAACGCAAAAATCGAGGAGAGTGGTTTGTTTCTGTTTTCGTCGTAATGGGCTTTCTTCTCCCCTCTCCCTCTCTTCTATAAATATATTCCGGTATGGTCCCCCCCACCCTAACACTCAAACATCATAAATCGTCTATTTTTTTGGGTTAAAAATTAAAATAAAGGGTGAAAAACCCATTTTTTCAGAGAAAAAAAAAATAACAAACAGTTGAGTCTTGGTTGTTGACAAATATTTTTACCACATAAAAAGAAAATTATCTTCAAGCAAAGCAAATTACACATAATTGTGTGTGATATTTGTTTAACTAAAACATCTTTGATTTATATTTCATTAAATTAATCATCCATCTCATTTTCTAAATTGGTTTTAAGATATAAGGTTCACCGTCGAAAAAGAGACAAAAATAAGATTGAATACTTTTAAATCTTATAGGATAAAGATGGTTAAAAATAATCAAATCCAAGGATAACACAATTAAGTAGGGAAATTCAACAACATGCATAATCGAAAACATATGAGATATTTTGCGTACTGTATTCATGATCAACAAACGTACTGCAAGCGTATTGAGTATTTTTAATTAAGAAGTTTGTATTATTTTTTTGGGTTATAAATAATAGGTGAATTCATATACTTTTTTTGTTGCATTGAATTGACCTTTTAACCAAATGAAATATATATTACTCTTAAAACTCCTCTAATTTGATGGTTCAGTTGCGGTTTATAAAATATGAGAAAAAGGATCGACCAAATATTTTCCATTCATAACTTTCATATTAAAATAACACTACTTTTGGTTCTTTTATTATTTCTACCAAAAAAAAGAGTTACAATAATGGAAAGTGTCAGTTTATTGTACGTAGAGTGATTCAAGAAGTTCAGGGAAAAACACATAGTCGATCCGGAAAGAAAATCGCAACACAACACATTTTTTGTATACTGGAGACATCATCAACCAAGATGGTTAAAATTCTAACATAAAGTGAAAAATACAAACCGCAATCACATTTAATCGCTCAACATTCACAAATCACAATCATTGTTTCGAAACCACCAAAAAAGGTGTGCACCTTTATTTTTCCGAGAAGAAAAACAATTTGCAAGAAGAAGACAAATGAAGCCTGTGAGGCCTGGAGCCTCTACTTAACGGATACCCTTCTTGTGACTTTGTTATCCATCCTCCATTTTATACGATTTATCTCAACAAGTCGGGAGAAGAGTGGGAACAGCTAGAGTCTCTAGCTGTTAACAATAAGATATCTCAAATAGACTACATCTCTCCGGTCATGTAAGAACCGACCCTCTCACTCTGATTTACTTTTATCTTTTATCTCTCTTATTTCCAACTTCTCTCAGTAATTCAGAGTACCCATCTGCTGAATTTCTTCAACTCTGATGATTTTGCTTGTGATGGAGATTTTGTTAGTGAGCGGATGTTCATAAAGTCTAATGCTTTTGGACATTAACCGTTGCCTCTTTCTTCTGTGTCACTTCTAGTTCATTTCTGCTGAGTGTTGTTATGCTTTCTGGTTAAACATTTTGAGAATTGCTTGCCTGCTACTTGGGTTCTGAGTAACCTTTTCCAGGGAATTGGGTTTTTGATTGACAGGTTGGTAGCTGGAAAGGCTTTGAATTGCTTATTCATTTATCCCAGCAGTGGCACCCAGAGATATTTGGGTTTTGGAGTAACAAATTTCACTGTTGGGACTATTAAAAGCTGTAAGCAAGAGGGTTTTGTCATAGATGAACGTGGGAAATTTAAACGGTTTAGTAGGAAGAAACTCTCCCGAAGACGATGTAAGTCTCAAATCAGGAAACTTTCTTATCTCTTTATAAGATTTGGAGTAGATTTGCAGATGAAGTTTTGGTTTTGATATAGGTGGCTCTTTGAGAGGGCGAGGATGGAAATATGGATCCGGGTTTGTTGATGGGATTTTTCCTGTTCTGAGTCCCATAGCTCAGAAGATTCTGAGCTTTATTCAAAAGGAAACTGATCCTGAAAAAGTAGCTGATGTCCTTGGAACTCTTCCTTCAACACATGCCTCATGGGATGATCTAGTCAATGTTTCTGTGCAACTCCGTTTGAACAAAAAATGGGATTCCATAATCCTGGTTAGCCTTATTGCAAAAAGTTTCATTTTTTACAGGGATATGATTATTGAAGTTTTAACTAACTAAAGCTACAATCTTCTTTTAGGTGTGTGAGTGGATTTTAAGGAGGAGCTCCTTTCAGCCTGATGTAATCTGCTTCAATTTGCTTGTAGATGCTTATGGACAGAAGTTCCGGTACAAGGAGGCGGAATCACTCTATGTACAGCTTCTTGAATCCCGCTGCGTGCCTACGGAAGATACATACGCACTGCTTATAAAGGCATACTGTATGGCCGGACTCATAGAGAAAGCTGAAGCTGTTTTAATTGAGATGCAAAATCATCATGTTTCTCCAAGTATGTTTAAGCATCTCCTAAGCTTTTCTATGCATTTGTACCAAACATTGGCTCATAAATTTCAGTTATACTTATCTTCCTGTTTTGAGAGACTCCAGATAGATATTCTAGTTTCGAACTAACATTATGTTTGCATAGGTACTACTGTATACAATGCATATATCGAGGGGTTAGTGAAGAGGAAAAGAAACACCGAAGACGCAGTCGATGTTTTCCAGAGGATGAAGCGTGATCGATGCAAACCAACCACTGAAACTTACAACTTGATGATAAATTTATACGGAAAGGTTTTGTCCATGTTCGATTGATGTGAATCACTTGGTGTTTGACTTGTGGGAGTTTTGATGTTTATGTCATTGGTCTTTCTGCAGGCAAGTAAATCATACATGTCCTGGAAATTGTTTTGTGAAATGAGAAGTCACCAATGTAAACCAAACATCTGCACATACACAGCACTCGTGAATGCATTTGCTAGAGAAGGTCTTTGCGAGAAAGCCGAAGAAATGTTTGAACAGCTTCAAGAAGATGGGCTTGAACCTGATGTCTATGTCTATAACGCTCTCATGGAGGCATATAGGTGATTACCTAAAACTCTCCCATAAAGGACTGATGCCAAGAAATCAATCAAGCATAACTGTAACGTCCTCAAAATCCGGAGACAGTCGTGCAGGTTATCCTTATGGTGCTGCTGAGATTTTCTCTCTAATGCAACATATGGGATGTGAACCAGACAGAGCTTCCTACAATATCATGGTCGATGCATATGGTAGAGCAGGTCTTCATTCAGGTAACACAGAAGCTTCTTTAACCAGGGTTATCCATTCCAGTTTCATTTTATCCATATCCGAACAAATAGAACCTGAACTGATTTAAACCTCAATCTCTTTTTTAAGTTTCATGATATGAATTTGCTGTCGTCTAAAGTGCTATATTCGTTCTCTCTTTCTTTTATATATATGAAAAGCAGATGCAGAAGCTGTATTTGAAGCAATGAAGAGGCTAGGCATAGCACCGACTATGAAATCCCATATGTTGCTTCTATCAGCTTACTCTAGAGCAAGAGACGTAACCAAATGTGAAGCCATTGTGAAAGAAATGAGTGAGAATGGAGTAGAACCAGACACATTTGTCCTAAACAGCATGCTCAACTTATACGGCCGGTTGGGACAGTTCACCAAGATGGAAAAGATTCTAGCCGAGATGGAGAATGGTCCTTGCACTGCAGATATAAGCACATACAACATCTTGATCAATGTATATGGTAAAGCCGGGTTCTTGGAGAGAATTGAAGAGCTTTTTAGCGAGCTTAAGGAGAGGAATTTCAGACCAGACGTTGTGACATGGACCTCGAGGATCGGAGCTTACTCGAGGAAGAAACTGTATGTGAAATGTCTGGAGATCTTTGAGGAGATGATTGATTCGGGTTGTGCACCAGATGGGGGGACAGCTAAGGTTCTTCTTTCGGCTTGTTCTAGTGAGGATCAAGTGGAACAGGTCACTTCAGTGCTTAGAACAATGCATAAAGGTGTGACTGTGAGTTCTCTTGTCCCAAAGCTAATGGCTAAATCCTTAACTGTAAATTGAAAAAGATAGCATTTTTAGATTTGCTTTCTTAATAAAGTTTGGATTTTTATATCAGAATCCTTATATGTATATGAAAAGTGTTATAATGTATGGTCTTATGTCATTACTCACAATGTTGGTTTAGTGGGGCAATTGATGCGAAATTGGTCCACGAGCAAATGATTTATGAAAGTGATATTTTTATAAGAAGAAAAAGCAAACCCACCAAACCCTTTTGTCGTAAGATTAGGAATATAATAATAAGCCGTTCGGTGAGTGCACTCTCTGTGTCTCTCTTTCTCTCACTGTTGTTGTGTATCTGCGCGAGATCTCAACAACAAAAAAAAAAAAAAAAATGGCTTCTAGATTATTGTGGGCGTCTAGGGTTGCTTCTCATCTAAGGATCTCCGTTGCTCAACGAGGGTTTGCCTCGGGTGAATCTCAATCTCCTTTCTATTTCTTTGATCTCTTTCGTTTCTCTGTCTGATTATTTTGCGTTGTTGATCTGGGATTGTTCTGTTCGAAATTTATGAGTTTTTGGTATCTGATCGGATTAGAAGTGGTTTATTGTGTTTGCCGATTCGTTTTGTTTTTGGATTGCTTGTCTCCAGATAACTTTCTATTTGTTCGTATCAAATCCCAGAAATAACATATGATCCCTCGAGGCTCTGTTAATAATAATGATCCTGAGCTTGGAGGCAGTGACTGATATGTTCATGTTATTTGTATTTTCTCTCGTTTTATAACTGAAGTTGTTTTCGGGTAAAATATTTGAAATCCGCCTTGATAGATGAATGGTTTTGTTGTGTGGTTACAGAGAAATAAGACCTTTGTTCATGATTCTTATTTTGGAATGTTGAATACTTTGCCATATAACCTTACTGTGTTTTTTTCCCTATGTGAGATAGCTGTTTTGAAGGATCTGAAATATGCTGATTCACATGAATGGGTGAAGATTGAGGGGAATAAAGCAACATTTGGTATAACGGATCACGCTCAGGACCATTTAGGAGATGTGGTCTATGTGGAGTTACCTGAGGTGGGACATTCTGTGTCACAAGGGAAGAGTTTTGGAGCGGTCGAAAGTGTGAAAGCTACCAGCGATATTAATTCTCCAGTCTCGGGTACGGTATTTGAAGTCAATGAGAAGCTGACTGAGTCCCCTGGATTGGTGAGTTCTCATTTTCACAAATATATTGCTGTTGATTCGCTGTGTTAGAAGGAGATAATCTCTATTGAACCATTTCCAAAAATTTACTGTGTTGGCATGGTCAAATCTGAACTCTCGGTTTTGCGGGTTTCTTTGTTTGGTTACTTGTTTTCATTTGATGCAAGTGGCTAACAAATTAATCACAAATGGGTGACATATAGTTTATGCTTCCTCATTCGATTCTTGGAAAGCCCTAGACTTTGAGAAACTCGATTAAAGGATTCTTAAATTTGATTCATTGTATGATGTTAAATATCTTAAACTTGAAGGTTCTTGATTCTTTGGTCTAGAGCTGATACTATTATCTTAAACTTGGAGGCTCTGTGGTCTTTAGCTGATATTCTTTTTCTGTTATAATTTACAGGTGAACTCGAGCCCATATGAACAAGGATGGATCGTAAAGGTGGAGCTGAGTGATGCAGGCGAGGCAGAGAAGCTGATGGATTCAGACAAGTACTCTAAGTTCTGCGAAGAGGAAGATGCCAAACACTAAGCTTTTTATCTATTCCAGATCTTCTCGAAGCTTCAACTGCAACACAGATTGTTGTATCTCGATCTTTATTGATGGATGATCTAAGAGAATTCTGAAGATTCCAGTCTCTCGTTCTCGTTTTTTATGTTTTGCTTTTTAGTTAAATTATTTGAACAATGGTAGAGAATAATAAACTTTGGCATTTACATTGATTTGATCTTCCATGGAGTTATGCCTCTTTTTACTTAATTTATCAATTACTAAATTGATTTTCTTCCATTCTTTAAGTGATAGAACTGAATCGATTTCAAACTTTAAACGAGAAGCTCTGATTTGAGCGTGATGGACATCAATAGTTGCTAATCTAGTCTAATAAGGTGGCTTTTATGCATTAGCAGAGCTTTCTCTCTTTCTCTTTGTGCCTGATTTCTCGTTGATGTAATTCTCAGTCGGACGAAAGCCTTCCATTTTGTAGGTAATCAGATCCGGGATGGTTTTACCAATCAATGGTCATATGATAATATGTTGTCAAAAAGAATGTACACATAACACATACATAATGACAGGCCTTAGTCCCGTATGTCAGCGCAGTTCACACTAATGGCAGACCCTTGAGATAAATCAAGATTAGGAAACAATTGAAACTTGGATCCAAGATTCGCATATCAAGAAGAATCTAACTGAAGATTCATACGAACAAAACAATATTTGCAGATAGCTAGGCTTTTGTAGCAACCGTGTGTGTGTGAAACCTGGTTTTTGTTCCTTTTTTTTTTCTGGTTCATAAAGATCTCAAAAGTGAATGTGAAAAGAAACAAAGAAAATCTGAGATGCAATGATATGAGGCAAGCAATAGTGAGGAAAAGATATCGGAATCATTGTTGCGTATTGTGGAATACAAGCTTGTTAGCCACAATATTTTTTGTCCAACTAAGTTACAAGAAGCGCGCCTTGTAATACAAGATTCCTTTGTTTATTATGTAACATCATGCACTACGCCAATATTATTTAAAATATTCGTGTGTCATGTTTTCCACTAATATCAACCCGATGAAGAGTTCGTCCTTACCTGATTAGTAACTACTGTATCTTGCCATTTTTTTTGTTTTAACGGATTCGCCACAGCGACTGATTCGCCAGGATGACATAACCAGGAACGTCAGAAACACTAATTATTAACTGAATCATACAGTTTGTAACACAGTAATTCTTAAATTATTGGTAATTATTACACCTAAAAGCTGATACAAGTAGAGTGTAATGATAAATTACAAGTTGTCATCAATACATTTGATCTTTTTTTTGTTGATTTTTTTTAAGAATTTTATAATTATACCAGGTAAGGGACTTGTCCTCGCTTGGGAAACTTATATTTCAACCACCCCAACTAGAGCCTTTGTTCTTTTTCTTTTTCTTTTTCTTTTTCTAACAGATTTTTCCTTTTTTAAAATACCAAAATTAGTACTATAGTAGTATTATACACCAAATACTGTTATCTATTTATAAATTATTCTAATTATGCATATATATATATATATATATATATATATATATATATATATAGATTTCGTAGATTTCAATTTACCTTTTGATAATGTATATGACAAAAGCAAATTGTGTTTGTTATATGCTAAAATCACAATGGTTTGAGGGGATGATTGGTACCCTAAACTATATAATAGTATGATGTAATTTTGCTATATACAATCCAAAACTTATTAGTTATCCACTGAATTAGTGCTACTTTTATTTATCTAGCAACAAAATGTTTTATTGCAATTTTCAGATTCAAATATACAACTCCAACTCCATATAACAAAAAAAAAATCTCATAATTTAAATAAACTTTTAAATAGTTCTTAAAATTCTGAAATGTAAAAAGACATTCATATGTTCAATTGATCATAATTTCTTCGAGTACATTGAGCTTTGTCTTTGGAAATGTTCAGATTCAAAGGTACTGTATAAAGATAAATTTGTAACGCGAATGGTAAAAAAATACTATAAAGAAGAGTTGATTTTGTTTTGTTTTTGCATATTTTCTGGAAAATGAAAGAAACTGTACTGACTAATTTTGTCTTAAATGAGAGAAGCGAACGAATTTAGCAACTCTTATTATTTTCTCGGCTCACACACTCTGATTTGAGCCCCGACGCTCTCTCTCTTCTCTTCTTCGTCGTCATCGTCTCCGGGAGTTGATTACAGCAAATTCAGATCTGAACTCCCCAGCCGAAGCTGCGATCTTACTGAGCCTTTCTTCTTCTCTTAATTGACTTTCTCCTTTGGAACTTCCTCAGGTAATTCAATATCTTGACATGACTCTTGCTTGACCTGGGTTTTTTTTTGTTTCTTTCATTTAGCCACTTGTTTGGTTGCTGAGAAAATGGCTACGGAGGAGATATCAGTTTCTCACTCATATCCACTTCAATTTTCCTGCATTTTTCTCTGACTTTGGCTCTTTGTTGAGAATTCACTGGGGTTTTGCAAGAGCTGAGAGCTTAGTGAATTGTGTAATGTGTGTCTGAAAATAGAATTCTCCATCATTGCAGACCATTCGATCATTGATGGCGAAATCCCGTCAATATTATCCTTCTCAAGATGAGTCAATGTCCCCGACTTCTGTGAGATCGAGGGAATGGGAAGGTCCTTCCAGATGGACTGAGTACTTGGGACCTGATATGGCTGCATCAGTGTCTTCTAGGAGCTCAAAGCAGTTGACTTCTTCTGATGGGCATGTTCAGAGTTCTGGTGGTTCCACCAAGGCTTTGAACATACAGTGGGTGGTTCAAATGATTGAGGTTGCTGAAGGTCTCATGGCTAAAATGTATAGACTCAATCAGATCTTGGAGTACCCTGATCCTGTTGGTCATGTTTTCTCTGAAGCGTTTTGGAAAGCGGGTGTCTTCCCTAACCATCCACGGATATGCACATTGCTCTCCAAAAAATTCCCTGAGCATTTCAGCAAATTGCAACTCGAACGTGTAAGTAAGGATTTGTTGTGTTTTTTTTTTTTTTAATTAGGCTTATTGTGTGATTTGTTATGTGCTAAAAAATTTCTTTTAATGCAATACTTATGCAGATTGACAAGTTTTCACTGGATAGCTTGCACGATGGTGCTGAACTTCACTTACAGAGCTTAGAGCCATGGATACAGGTAGCAACAAACTGTCTATGTAATATGTTGTTGGATTTTTGTAATGTTGCTCTGAAACTTGTTACTCGAGAATAGTGAGGCATCTCGAAAGTCCTAGTTATATAGACAATCTTCTGTAACTTTTCTTTGTTCATTATATTCTGTCTCACCATGAATCAGTCTTGTATATATATATATATATAAGACATTTAAAATGTAAAAGAGTGGTTATTTGCTAGCCTTCTTTTTTCCAGTTCGTGTTTTGAATTCCGTAAGGGGTGCCTTCATATTCCTCTCGTCATGCATTTTCTTTTTCTTGAATCAGCTGCTGCTCGACTTGATGGCATTTCGAGAACAGGCACTACGACTTATATTGGACCTAAGCAGCACTGTAATTACTTTGCTGGTTAGTCAAAGTCCCTCATCTGTGGAAAGTATTTACTTGCTCTTGGTTGAACTTTTGAGCTTTCTTTTGAACTTGTACCTTAGGTGGAGGTCATGAAATCTTTTGGTACATTAAGTTATTTTTACCAGTCGAACATTGTCTGTGGGGATGAGGATAAAATTGTTGAGTATTCATAATTAGCTCATAACTTAGTTCAGTTTTTTGCAGCCTCATCAGAACTCACTTATACTGCATGCGTTCATGGATCTCTTCTGTGCATTTGTCAGAGTCAATATTTTCGCAGAGAAGGTATGCTGAGCTTATGCCTTTCCTTAGTTCTTGGTTTATTTGGATTGATTATACATGTCTGATGAGGCATACGCTTATTTTTGTTATCAATCTGTACGCGTGTTTATTCTGTCAAAATAGATTCCTAGGAAAATGTTGCTGCAAGTGTACAACCTTCTGCATGCGCTATCAAGAAATGATAGAGACTGTGACTTTTATCACCGGTATGGGTTCCTTTTTCACTTGTAGAGTCAGTTTTAATTTATATATCAATATGCCAAACCATGAAATAGAACTCTTTGTCATGCATCCAGCTTGGTGCAATTCATAGATTCTTATGATCCGCCATTGAAAGGGTTACAAGAAGATTTGAATTTTGTCAGCCCAAGGATTGGAGAGGTTAATATTTTAACTTAGTTTGATTTCATTATTATGTTCAGTTGGGTTTCGCTGGATTATTAGAGTTGGGGCTGAACTTGTTATATTCAAATCACGAGTATCCTACGAGCTAATACTGTAGTTGATATAGCAGTACTAACAATGTTACTCATTTTCTTAGGTCCTGGAGGCTGTAGGACCCAGTATTTTTCTATCAGCCGATACAAGGAAGTTGAGAAATGAGGGATTTTTAAGCCCATATCATCCTAGATTCCCAGATATACTTACAAATTCTGCCCATCCCATGGTATACTCGGCTAAATAATCATCAGAAAAATATGATTATCCGAATTAGTTGAATGCTGTAGTATATCCATTACAGCTCTTTTTAAAATATAGATCTAATAATGGGTATTACACTCTTGCTTCCTACAGAGAGCGCAAGATCTTGCAAATGTAACATCGTACCGAGAATGGGTGCTCCTTGGATATCTCGTTTGCCCAGATGAGCTTCTTCGTGTAACTAGCATTGATATCGCCCTGGTATGAATCTTTTTTCCTTTTGTTCTCGATTGAGATCTTAGTAGAGGAGTGTGTCCTCCAGTAGTTCTAAAAAGTTTTGTGCTTTTTCCACGGTTTATCTACATTAAGATTTGTAGTAATGGACTTAGGTTTTTGATGTACAAATTAAATCAAGGTTGCTTGTATTTGTGCTTCTTTAAAATAAATGTTTTACTGTCCTGTTCTGTTTCAGGTTGTGCTAAAGGAAAACTTAGTCATTACTTTATTTCGGGATGAGGTGAGTTCATATCAAATTGTCGGCGACAAAGAGTTTTGTATTGGAATGTTTTGTGCATCAGCTGACTCTATTAATCTAACCATGCAGTACATCCTGCTGCACGAAGACTACCAGTTGTATGTTTTACCCCGTGTGTTAGAATCAAAGAAAATGGCAAAGTCTGGTCGGACTAAACAAAAGGAAGCTGATCTAGAATATAGTGTAGCAAAGCAAGTTGAGAAAATGATCAGGTAACTCCAAATTATTTTAGTTCTAATTTTATTGCT